TTAAACTTGGTCTTTCGATCCATTGATCGAAAAAAATATATAACTAATATTTATTTTGTAGTGGGTGAATCCAGCTGCTTTAACTTACACACCAACAGAAAACACACTCAAGTTGGCTACACATTTTGAAAGATTTAAATCCATATTGCCCCCTCTGGAGTTGGGAAAAGTTAATAAAAGTGCTCTTCGATATAACAGTAAGCGACCCGTTTTTATTATTGTGAGAGACTGCTTGATAAAGATCTCGGCAATCTTTATGACCTCCGTCCTCCGTCATGATCTATAGCACTATCTAATTTAGATCACACCATTATAAGAGGATTGTCCACACATTATTTTTAACATTCATTGGATTTTTATTAACAAAAACATTTTTTAAATGCATAATATGTTTTAGTAACACCACGAGTAGAAGAACTAGCTATACCCAAGAAACGCAGTGTAAAGGAGGTGGAAGATTCCGAATGGGATCCGTGGGCTATACCAAAAAATGTTTTAAGATATAAGGCTACTCCCAGAATTCTAGAGTTAGCCAAACCAAAAGAGCGAGACTGATTGCAAAAATAAAGTATCATAAGAAAAAAAAATGTAACGGATAGTTTAAGAGTTCAATTGTATTTTCATTTTTCAATAAATATATGACTTATCTTCTTCTTACGGTGCCTTATCCTTAAGGACGTTGGCCATTATATTTGCCCATTTAATCTTATTTGTAGCAGCCCTGAATAGTTCTATGGAGGTCATGTTCGTCCATTGCCGTAAGTTTTTAAGCCAGGAGTTGCGTCTTCTTCCTGGTCCTCTTTTGCTATTGACTTTGCCTTCGATTATAAGTTGGAGCAGTTCATACTTCTGATTTCTTATGATGTGACCAAAATATTGTGTTTTCCGTTCTTTTATTATAAGCTCTTTCCTTATTCATCCTCCGCAAGTCGTATTGGTATTTCGTATTGATAGTCGTATTATATTTGTCGTATGGCTCATGTAGGATATTCTGAGCATTTTGCGGTAACACCAGAGTTAGAATGCTTGGATTCTTTTTTGTGTTGCTTCTGTCATTGTCCAGGCTTCAACACCATAGAGCAAGGTGGAGAAAACATAGCACTTAAGTATTCTAGTTCTCAATGAGATGCCCAGCTGGCGGTTGCATAGAACTTTTTGCATTTTGTAAAACATTGTACGTGCCTTTTCCAGGCGTATTCCTATCTCTAGTGAGTGGTCCCAAATTTCATCAAGATTACTTCCAAGGTACGTTGTTCTTGTTACTCTTTCCAGATCTGTTCCGTCTACATTGACCTTCACCCTTCTGTTTTGGTGCTTGCTGATGACCATCGTTTTTGTCTTCTTTGTATTCAATTTCATTCCAAATTCTCTACAGGCTGTCGTTACTCGGTCCATTAAGCGTTGCAGGGCTTCAGCATTATCTGCCAGTATGACAGTGTCATCAGCATATCGCAGGTTATTTATACATTGCTAGTTTATAATTATACCATCCGAGGTGCCTTCCAAAGCTTTCTGAAATATCTTCTCAGAGTAAACATTGAACAGCAAAGTTGATAGGACACATCCCTGTCCTATTCCCTTCTCGATATTGATTTTTCCAGATGTTTAGCTTTTTATTCTGATTTTAGCCTTTTGTTCTTGGTAGAGGTTTGAAATGATCCTTAAGTCTTTATCGTCGATATTACAATATGACCTAAATATTTTACATTTATTTTTTATTTTACATTAACTTTTTCGGAATACAGAAAAGAGAACAAAGAAATCAAAATATTATGTTATCCAGACGACATATTGCTAGTCTCTTGTCTCTAGTCTCCAAACTCTTGTCCGACGAGAAAATTCATATCTAGACTCGTCACTAAACAAAACTGGCCCAGTCATTGCCAGTCCAATTCTGAAACTCTTGACACCAGGTTAATCTTGCAGCGCGATTGCCTCTAGATGGAGGTATACGTCTCAGTGGTCGCCGACTACGAAGATTTGCTTCATGGAGACGATTCTTCACAGTACTGCTGCTCCAGCTCAAGTGCTGTGATTGTTGGCTGCCTTCTGGCATTTAAAATTAAATATCGGGCTTGAGCGACGGTTGTAGAGGAACCACGTACTGGATGTTACTCCACTGGACTCCCAGTGTCTCTAAATCGACGCCACAAACGACTTACGACGTTTTGGGAGACACCTAGGTGGTCAGCAACTTGATTTGGTCGCATACAAGCTTGAAGGAGGCCCACGGCTCTATTCATCTAGTCCAACGTTAAATGTTGTCGTTGCATGGTACAAAGACAATATTTTTAACTCACCTATTAAGCAAGAATGGTATAAAGTGACTAAAATTAAAAATAAACAAAACTTAAAAAGGTAGATTTTTGTGTCTCTTATAAAAAATATTCTAAAACACGTATTGCTATCAGTTTTACATTTTTTTTTTTTTTTTTTTTTTTGATAAGAAGTGAGTGTTTGTATCAACTATTATAGTACAAGCTAATTTATATGGTCATCAATGTCAAATTATTAAAATATCCTTAGACTTTTGCGCCTACCATAGACCTACCATAAAAAATCTTACTAAATTCACTGATTCCTGCAATAAATTATTAGTACCAGAATTGACAACGTATATGAAATGACGCAGGTTAATAATCAGATAACGATAATATAATAAATTTAAACATCTGTAAGTACACTAAGCATAATGATTAACAGTTAATCATAAGAATTTATGGTTATTTCCTAAATGATTCATATAAATAAAAGCATAAAGATAGTATACAATTTTGAAATTTTTTTCATTGATAAAACGATAATCTGTAAGTAAAAATGCTTTATGGAATTAATAAAATCATAATGCTAAATGTTCTACTTTTATGCCGGTTTAGTCATCTTTATTTTATTATTTTAGAGTCCTTTAGTAACAGATATAGTAACAATTAAGGTCTGTTTAAGCTAGGATTACAATATTTATTATTTGATAAATACATAGTGGAAATATCCGCATACAAAACATACAATTTAATTATGATATGCAATATAAAATAGAAGTAAAAGAAAATATTGTAAAAAAATCCTTTAAGAGTATTATATTCATTAATTTTTTGACAAGTTATCTGTTTTGAGTTAGGTGTGAAGCATATAGTCGCAGTTTTTTGCGTAAATCGCTCGAAAATATCACTACAAAAGATAATTTCACTAAATATTTCACAAAAATATTTTATAGGGCTCTCAAACATCTTCAACGTAAGGAAGTTTAATAATGTCTTTATTTAGCAATTCATCTTCAAAATTGTGTCCACTTTGATTTTTCAATTGAATCATTTCAACTGTACAGCCACTTCCATTGGCTAAAATGTGAAACTTTCTCTTCCATACACATTCTGTTACATACCTGGAATTCATTATACAAATTTTCAGGATGTTTTGCTGAATTGTTTTAATGGACTTGATCTAGATGTGAATATAAAATCTTATCAATAATATATAGGGAGTTTCAAAAAGGTATGTCATAAATTAAATCACACATTTTGGGGACAAAAATTGATTGAATCCAACTTAACTTAGTACAAAAGTGTACACAAAAAAGTTACAGCCCTTTGAAGTTACAAAATAAAAATTGTTTCTTTACATTATCTGATAAACTACTTGACATATTGTAATAAAAATGGACACGTTACTTTCTTGTTCTGAAAGCATTTTTCATGAAAGATCTCCTCTCAAGGTTGAAGGTATGTTTACCAGAATAGCGGCGTGCTTATTTAAATTTTAATGACAATAATTATTTTTTTAATTAAAATTAAATATTTATGATTTTTTTTTGTCACATAAAATATGTAAACACACAAAATGGCGGAAATGTTTTCAAACACAAGATCAACTTCGTGATGCTTCGTAAGAATTCATGAACTTGCGTGCATATTCGTATCAAAACAATAAACAATAACAAAGGTATTCATCATGATACTAAGACTTCCAAGATAAACCCACTTCGCAATCGAATTTTGTACATCGACGCGCATGACGTCAATTGGTGATAAAAGTCATTTTTATCATCGACCTTTTATCATCACAGTCGGTAAAACATATATGGAAAGAAAGGGGTTTTTATTTAAATATTTAGAATATTAAGGGATGTTAGGTAAAATATCTGCAATTAAATCTTAAAAATATGTTATATATACATCTCTGTTAGCCTAGCAATGTAAACTAAAATTATATAAAAAAGTAAGAACTCAACATCCTTTTGCAAATGGAAATTTATATACAATGGATTGATTTATTAAAATAAAAATTTAATACAACTGATAAAATAAAATACAGTGTAATAATTTACAATTTTATTTAACAATTTATTTTACAATTTCTAATATTTTCTTCTTCTTAACTTTGGATGTTTCTTTAATATATCTATTCAATTTTCTAATTTTCAAATATAATTTACACCTTTGCTAACATTACATCTGAACACAGCTAAATCCATTAGCGATTTTAAATAATTCTTGGTTAATTTTAATGACCCTTGTTAAAATTGTTAAAAATATGGTCCAGTTCATTACATTTAATTAGAAAATCTGGATATGGTTTAAGTAAACCTCCTTCGGAAAGATGGTTTACCCAGTAAACCGATGTCAACGTACAAGATAAACGATAAAACAAAACTAAATCTCAAGGTTAGTAGATATTTAAGTAGATACTTAAATATCTACTAACCTTGACTAAATCTGACAAAACTCCATACAACACAGAACATTTCTGGTGACATTTGTCGCCAAGTGACGTCACACGACTAATCACGTGCGCGTGGGTTTATCTGTAGTTTATAGTATCATGGGTATTCATATTCTAGACACTTTTTAAAGCGTTCACCGAGTCTACGTCATTGTTTACACACGTCAAATTTGACATTGAAGAGACTATATAAATTTCTTCATGAAGTCGTGAAACAGTAAGTATACAACATGCATTATTAATTCCAACTAGTTATAACTGTCACATCTCATAATTTTACTGTCAGGGAATAAAAAATGTCAATAGGGTAACAATCAAAATTATAGACATCAAAATTATTAGTTTAAAAATATGGTATCCTCAAAACATTCCAATATTCCGGAAAATTTCTGTAGAATCTGGACACCAAAGAGAAAAGCTCCAAATAAACATAGACATAAGGTAAAAACATTTAATTTTAAAGGTAATTTTATTAAATTGTACATTCATTGCTGTATTTAATATACACAATCAACTTAATTATTTAAAGGAAACAAGTAACGCTTCTTTAAGCAATGTTTTTCCAGAAATGGTTAAGGCAAGAATCAAACTATTTGTACAATGCACACGAACAGCAAATGAAAGAATTACGAAAGCTGAAGAAGAGGCTGAAAGAAGAAAATACTTTAAAGATTAAAGAATCTGCATTAAATTACAAAGGTATGTGATATATGTTAAACTGCAAAAAAAAATCCGAATATCCAGAAAAATTCGTCCAATTTTTAACTTTGCAGCCCATGAAATATATAGACATTAAAAATGTTCACAAAAAATCACAGATCTTTATAAAGACAGTTTTTATTTAAGAGTCAGAAATTTGAAAACTCCAATCTAATGGATTGTCGAATTTTTGACCATAGTCTATAATGGATTATTGACGAAATTCAGTATATATTACGTAGAAATATTTCGTATTTTTTACCTACATTTATGAATTTTTACTTTTAGCATCCGCAAGAATAATTAGTTTGGCTCAACCGAAATTTGAACGCAAGAAATTAATTCAAATGGAAGGTACAATGTCCTACGTCAGTCCAAGCGCCTTAAGGTATATGCCAACGAGAAGAATATTGGAACTGGCAAAACCCAAATATATTTCTGAGAAAAGAGAAATGACCTGGCAACACACATTTGTATAAACTGCAGAGCAATATGAATTTTAATAAAAACAATATAATTTACATTATGTGTAACAAAATTTGGATTAATTTGATTTTGGTATTAATTTTTAACTTAAAGTATTTTACATAAAAAAGGGTGAGTTTATAGTGCGATATTGGTAGACAATTCCAATATTGTCCAGAATATCAAAAAAAGTTAGGTAGAAAAAATGTAGGCAATATTTTATTCACTGCCACCCTAAATAGCATGCTTGTATCAACACAACACCATACCAATCTCAAAAGTTCTTCAACTATGAGGTTCTTCTTCGTCCTGAACTGCGTTTTCCTGTTATTTTTAAATAGAAACAGAAAATAGAACAGTTGCAGTGACTCTATTGACACAGAACATAAAAATACATAGATATAAGTGATTATAAGTGATTGGTACTAGTTACATCAGGCAGCTATTTTGTTGTTTGTTATTTGTCAGAGTTTCCTTGTCTAAGGTGTGGCCCAATAGCATCCAATAAAAAGATTTGGGAGAGTTTCTAGCACCAAATGCGGACGGGCCGAAACTAATTTCATTTTGCGGCAAATTCAAAACGTAGGTTCTGAATTTTAGGCGACAAAATTCAAAAAGTATGCTTTTAATGGAAAATAAATATAGTCATAGAATAAGAAATACAAACTTATTGGTTGAGCTTACCAAAAGTACAAGCTGAATATAGCCGCAAATGTCGACCATGAAATAAAATATTTCGGTTTGGCAGTGTTGGCCGTTGGGATGTTATTATAATGCATAATATGTTGTATGTTTCAAATATAAAGAGAGAAAGTTTTTAAAAAGTACATTTTGATTATACTGTTTTATGAATTCTGCAATTTTTAATTTATATGAATCTATAAGTAGTAAATATTTGTCTCTTTCGAGATTAATTGCAAACGTCTGTTTCAATCTGACAATTGCTGATTTAATGATTGCCAAATCTACCCCCTGATCTATCAAAGGGCAATTGCAAAAAAATTCTAATAATTAACTGCAATTAATCTCAAAAGAAACAAATATTTACCCATTCTTGTTTTATATGAATAAAAAATTGCAGAATTCATAACATAATATAATCAAAATGTATCTTTATCTCTTTATATTTGAAGCATACAGCATATTCATTACAAAAACTTGCCAACACGTGCCAACACTGTTAAATCGAAATTTTTTGTTCCATGTTTGTCATTTGCGGCTATAATCAGCTTGTACATACTTTCCAATTTATAGCATACAATTGGTATTGTCTATTCACTTAGCTAGGGCATATTTTGACAGACTCATTGTCGGAAACCTACAACACAACAATTCCTACTTCTCAGTATTAATAGCTCAAGTGTACTACTATTGAAGACTTCTTTCTTTGAAAAAAAGAAGAATTATTCTAAATAGTGGAAGTGTATATTAAACCCATCAAATTTTCCCTGTATATTTAAAATATAATATTTGAATTGTTACAATTTAAAATATTGTAGTAAATCTTTGTATTATTCGCGTTGTTTATTTAATTTAATATAGTTTTATTGTTTTATTATCTTTGTTTAATTCTTTTGTTAGTTCTATTCAGTTAATTAGTTAGTTATATTTTAAATTTTATTATTATGGATAGTCAAAGTTTTCCATTTGTTCCATCAGCTAATGTGTTGGTAAGTTTTTCTTAATAAACATGATAAAATGTTTTTTAAAAGTTAATATTTTTAGATTAGTTGTTTCTAATTTAATATAAACTTGTTTATACCTACATGGAGGTTCTTGTTGTTTGTTTGGGTTTATATGACTGCAGACTGCGGCCAGGATACTGAATTCATTAACCATATGTGGAAGATTTTAACATCCTCAAATGCTAATGAGCAAAAATTTCTATTGAACCACGAATTTGCCTAGTCAAATTACTAATATTTGCTTTTAGCATATGGAAGTACACTTATTTTGTAAGATAATAAAACAACAGTTTATGTTAATGCTATTCAATGAACATAAGGAACTTGCTGTGTCTTATTTAACCTCACTTTGACTTTTTAATTTTGTAGAATTTATTCCCACTTTTTTTATTTTGTACCCACAATAAATAATTTTATAATTTGTTATCAATACATAATTATACTTACGGTGTAAATAAATAAATATTGATTGTCGGCAAAGTTCTATTTTATTTACTTTTGTTTACATTAATATTGACTAAGAGCACGTATGCTTGGTTGTATAGTAATTTCCAGCCACTTCGAGTCGGTCAAAAAGTAACTAACTTCGCAAAAAAATAATTACTAAAATCACTAGACAGTTCGGACTGGGAATAGCGAACCGGGTATACAAGATAGCATTTTGTACCAATTTATAGCATAATATCATACATATATATCTCTAGAGAGAGTATATATTATGGTATAGGAAACTTTTTATTATTTTATGGCCATATCTGTTTTCCATTACATTAACAGAAAAAAGTCCGGAAAACAACAAAATAAAACACTAACACAGTATAATAAACAATCGGAATGCCCACTCTGCTTGAAAAAATATGTACGAGCATCTCGTTGGCGCAGACGGAGTCAGCCATGTTTTAAACGGAACTAGTGTTGTTCAGTCATATTTTATCTGGTGTGCATAGACAAATTAACCCGGTTTAATTTATTTACGGGCTTAAGAAAGCCTCTTTGCAGAGCTACAGATTGCTTTACAAACTTCCATTGGTGTATACAGCCTATCCATGCGATTGGGTTTGCGTTTTACTAAGCCAAAGTTCCGATCGTATGGCAAGAAATTGAAGAAATAGTGGCCACGAAATGAAAATTTGTGGACAATTTTTTCAAACATTCCTGTGTCAGTAAGCGCAAGGCAAAATCGAATCATGACATTGTTTCTATTTTGGCTACCACAGCCATCACTGTAGAGGTGAAGTTCTTTTATTGTGGTAGGTATATTTTGCCTCAAATAATTGAAAATTAGTTTCATTTGGACCTTTTTTAGCCACCTTTTTTTTTTCATGGTAAAGAAAAAACTGGACACTGTGGTCTTTTAAGTTATGAATACTGAATGGAAATACTGATATCTGAAGTAAATAAAAAATATCTTAAAATGGAATTGACGGTAATGAATTGTGTTATGTGTGTGAATATGTTTTGCATATAATCGAAGCCAAATCCACTAACGCTGTTATTTTCTTTGCACATTTTTTCCGTGTTTTGAATGCTATAATTTTTTAGAACGTCTTTGATGCACCGTAAGTTCAGCAAGGTAGCACTTTTAGCTGCTTCATTCAAAGAACTTGTGCATGTAACATTGGCAGCATCAATCGACTTGCGGTCGCCCAAATTTATAGTCAAAATGCTCTTTAAAAATAGTATAATAATGTTGAATATTTGACAACGTGTTTCTCTTTGAATAAGGAATGCACAACTTTTACAATAAGCTTTGCGTCTAGGTATTGATATTCTTTTGATGAATAATGACTTTGTGTGACAGGAAATGAAAAAATGTGCTCACGTACAATGTGCATATTACCAGGAACAGTTTTTTTATTATTAGATCTTTAGACCCTCAAATCTTTATATTTCCCGAGATGCAAAATAGCTTGTAAGCATTGTACTGCTTTAGCACTTATGCCGTGTAAACTTAAAAATGCATGTTTACAAACTTTGCGCCGCTGTGTTAACCAACACAAAATAGTCAAAGGATGAGGTTCTTTATGATGCTTCTTCTTTACGAGGCCGTCTCTTCTTTTAAACCTTGCAGATAAATGTCTTGTTCATTTTTTGTTGAAAAAGAATATAATAATTTTTTCATTATTTCAATTTTGTCTGCTGCTCTAGTTTTTCCATTGGCCTTTCCTGGAACCATGTGTCCTTGGTAATATGTATATGGTTGTCATAACAACAGATTTCTCTTAATTTTAAAAGTTTTATTATACTCATCTGGGTTTTTAACTTTTTCTCTTTTTTGTAATCTCAGTATCACTCATATTAAATCAAATTTGTAGTATTTATACAACAATCGCCGAAATATCAAAGTATTAGTCTATAAACAACAAAACAACCGGCTTGTCATTTATCACCAAACAAAATCGTTGTGTTTATGACACTACTAGCGGCAGTCAAAGATCAGCGGCAAATTTATGAAATGATATAAGTCAATGACATATCGTTTCATAAATAGATGAATTATTCTGCTGGCTGCCTACCTAGTAACAGTGCTGAAGACTTATATTCTTTTATGACTAAACATGAGATATAAGTATTGAAAACAAATTTTCGTCATAATCTCAATCATCCTCCGTAATTTCTTGTCAGAGTATAATAGTATGTCGAAGGGAAAAATAAAACAAAGATTTAATAATATTTACAATTTATTGGCCTAATTAATATTATGGACGCAAATAACACGGTATAACAAATTAAGCCTTAAATAAAGACCAAACAAAATATATACCAGACTATAAAAAGATCACATTTTAGAACGGTTAAAGTAAGAATAGAAAAATACCACAAATAAGCCGAATCATTACTGCAAATAAATTACTCTAAACAAGCATATTTCAATGTCACTTTTCAGGTATCAAAAAAAATACATTATAATAAAATTTTGTTATTTCTAGTCGAACTTGGCCATAGACTAGTGCAGGAAAATATCTAGCTGGTCACAAAAGTCGTGTTTGAACCAAATTGATCAGAAAAAATACTATCTACAAAAACATTTGATTTCCGCAATAAAACAGAACAAATTTGATTAAACAATTGTTAAGAAGAAACATATTACAACTCAATCTACAATTTATTCATTAAAGTTGTCTTTTGTTCCGTATTTTAATGTTCTCCTACAACAGATTGTAATTAAACCACTGCCTGAGTTATCACTTTGGTGATATGTTTTTTTAGATCTATTATGTAAACCATAGTTATACAGAAATCCTACAAATACCGGTAACGCTTGATCAAATACCTAGTGATGTATTTATCAAGCCTTATTAGAAGTTTTAGTAAAATTATGTATTTCTTGGAACTTTATGAAGCTTTATTTTGAATGTAGTTTCTACTCACAGTTTTCTTGTACAATTCTAGAATATTTGTATTACTACAAAATTGTGTTAAGGCTTTGTTACTGCTCTGTTCACAAACAAGCTTTTCTTGATATTTTATGGCGTAAACCATATTTAAAGAAAAAAATTTTTTAACAGAAAATTCAATAGAGGCGCCACAATTTCCCGATAATCCTTAACTGATATCTCAGTGAGTTATTCGTAACTTGGTGACAATTTCATTCCTGAGAATAAGTCGCTCATACCACTCTGCTGTAACTGTCCGCGTCACAGCCGCTGACAAATTTTCTACACCCTTCACTCTTCAAGCAGGAATTCCACATGGCCCAATACTAACAATATACTCTACAAGTCTACAACATCAACCTCACTATACCCAGCAACAGATCCGAAAGATCCTCCTACATGCTGATGACGCTGCCCTACTCTCCGAAGGACCTCCATGTTCTTCTCCGAAGGACCGTCATGTGTTCGACAAGGCCAAAGCATACCTCGACTGCATAACTCCATCGAAGTTACTGCTCAACAAAGCAGTGAACAATGAACCCGTATTCAAACCATAGATGTCCTATTTGAGTGTCGAATTTTGTCAATCTACTCAACTGGAACACTGATATCAAAAACACCCTAAATAGGATGAGAAAGAGAGCGTTTGCAAGAGCAGAAATTTAAGAATGCTAATAACGTTATTCTCTAACAAACATACAAAACCTCCATCAAACCAATCGTCGATTACAGAGTAAGACGCGAGCGACAATTAATAAAAGACAAATGAAGCAACTCAAAAATTATTTTTTACAATCATAAAAGTCGCGGCATATTATCATGCACGTATAGTTTCTAGCACATAGCGTTTCCAGTGCAGCAATCGGGCTGCACGTTCACATTTTCATACATAGAATGTTTCAGCTTTGTGCGGTGAAGATGTGATCTCGCTTTTCACGACAAAAATTGTAGTAAAAGGAAGGTTTGGAGTACATCCAACGCTAAGAGAAAGGAAAAAGGAAGATGAATACTGGACGTTATACAAAGAATTAATTGATGACGATGAAAAATATTATGGATATTTTAGAATGAGGATTTAGTTTAAATATATTTTAAATTTAATTACACCACTAACACATCAATCACAAATTAAAAACAAAATACTACATTCAACGAAGTTTGGTTTGATAACATATCACAAAGAGTATTTTTAAAAAAGAAGACGCATCACTTCCGTGCAAAAGTACTAATTGTTTATCACTTTCGTGATTGTCAAAAAGCAATGAAAACACGACGGGCCCCTAATTCACATTATCCGTACCAACAGGTTTCTAAACGGATACGTAAGGTGTCTGATAGGATACGTTCCGGACAGTGTGAATTGTTCATATTTAAAAACATTTAAATTATATTTTTCGGAAACAACGTGCATGATAATATGACAGGACCTTTCATAAGAAGTAATGTTTTTTTGTGTAATGTACTTTTTTATTGTCAATATAAGTTTGTTCTTTACTGATGGGATTTATTTAGCCCACCATTCAACACTTCTTCTTCTTAAAGTGCCCTCTCCTCAATGGAGGTTGGCTACTACAATTTTAAACTCTTCTCTATCTTCAGCTGTTCTTATTAGCTGTTCAAAATTTAGCCGTGTCCATTGTCGGATGTTTCTGAGCCACGATAGTCTTTTCCTTCCTAGGCCTCTCTTTCCCTCGATTTTTACTTTCACTATAAGTTGGGCATATTGGTACTTATTATTTCTCAGTATGTGGCCTAGGTATGACGCAGCACTTCTTCGTTTGAGGTTAGCGATGTCCATGAAATTTTGAGTATTCTCCGGTAGATCCACATTTCAAAGGCCTCCAATATATTTGCGGTTGATGTTTTAAGGGTCCACGTTTCAACAGCATATAGAAGAGTCGACCAGACGTAGCATTTTGATAAACGTAGTCGAATTTCGAGTTTTATTCGAAAATCACAAAGCAGTTTTTTTATTTTTTCGAAAGATTTGCTGGCCTGTTCTATTCTCGATCTTATTTCTAGATCAGGATTTAGGCTGCTATCGATCCAACATCCCAGGTACTTAAATCTATTGACCTGTTCTAAAATGTGCCCATTTATGGTGCAAGGTTGAGGTACGTTTTGGTTTTTTCGGATTGACATCACTTTGGATTTTTTAATGTTTATTTTCATACCAAATTGCTCACAGGTCGAGTTGGGCTTGTCGACACCATTCAACACAATGGGCCATATATGCCCCGTGTCTTTTCTGAGGATACAAGGACATGCAACAATGTAAAAAAAATCAATCGCTTTTTAGGTCTCTAGGTATCAACAAATATCATTAAAGTTATTTTAAACACTTATTTAGCTACAATGAAATCAGTAATAAAAGGGTTAAAGAAACCATCTAATGAAATAGCTTTTCGTCCTTCATTTTCGTTCCTCATTATTACATTTTTTTTATTTTCTTCATATCTTTTGGCAAATTAAAGCGATGTATAGGAAATACATGAATTTTTCATTGTTGACCATTGATACCACATCAGTGACCTTGATAAATCCGTACGTAAGAATAGATGTAACGGGCAGTGTGTCTAGATCTATTTGTTGCATATTAATTTTTTGAATTTCCCGATGCAACCCTACATAGTCAGTATTTTTATATATTTAATTGTATATAAAATGTGTATTCAATTGTTTCTTAAACATTATTTAATCAAAATTGTCCGTATTTTTGTAAAACAAATTATGAAACGAATAAAATCTGATACACTTTTTAATTTAAGCAAAATTCAACAAGGAAAATCTGTAACCTTAAAAAACTCGCATCATTAAGTACTCAAGTAATTGTTAAAATTATTTACAGGTGTTTTTCTCACTAAAAATAATTAAATCTAATCATAGAAAATCTTGATTTTTCCAATATACAGAGCTAATCAAAGATAGTAATCAAAAAGTAGTAATGTGTTTAAACTGTATTAAACTCTTTTCCAGAAAAATAAGAGTATGAAACACTCAAGCTTAATATTATAATATTTAAAATCACGTTTATTCAACACTTGGACAAGTGCCTTTATTACTAAAAGAATTTTGACAATGTAAGACATTATTTGTTAAGGGAGATTGGTCTAGTTGAAAAAAAAAATTAAAATACTAACGGTCTATATTCAAAACAAGTAAACATAAGGGAAGTGAGAGACGGTAGCATCTTCTGATCTTCTAACATTTATGTGGAAAATATCTTTCAACTTGCACAGCAGAATGAAAAAGGAATCAAAATAAATGGAATTCCTATAAATAATTTGCGATATGCTGATGATACAGTTGGCGTAGCAGATAAAATAGAAGCATTAAAAGTGATAGTAAATAATATCAATACAGTGGGAAAGGAATATGGTCTCAACATTAACATCACAAAACCGAAATTAATTATAATCATCAGACAATCCCATATGTAAACGCAATGAAGCGTCTACGTTGATAATAGGTGAGGTAAGTTGATTTAGTATATTTCTGATCTGATCTCATACAGTTATCATCATGATACTACGACTAGGAAGATAAGATATTGAGCATAAGTCATGACGTCATGGGAGAGTTGCACGTTCGAAATGTCGTTTTTTGTATGTATCAATAATCTTTAATAAATAGTTCGGAGATATCCTTATGTGTATGATTATTGTAATTATTAAACCTCTTAACTTATTTTCGTCTAGTAATTTCATCACAGAATGCACACAAATCCCATTTAACTTTAACAAGAATTTATAATCCGACAAGCGAGAACTGGCGGGTGAGCTGCGCGAAAATAGAAAAGGAATTATTCTAAGAGAGATCGGAGAGGTACTTAATCGCGATTATAGGTATATAGTATAGGTACATAAACGGTTATACACGATGTGAAATCCTAGCCGACTGCAATAGAAATGAGCAATCCCTTCCACTTTTCAATTTGTTTTACGCGCAACCCGCCAGCTCTCACTTGTCGGGTTATAAATTCTAGTCTCCAATGACGGCATGCGCGAACACGACCGATTTTGTGCTACGGGAAGATCATATCTTGTTAGTCGTAGTATCATGGTTATCAAGTCAATTATTATTAGGTAACGGAATTTACTGTCAGCTTTTGTCATTTTAGACAGTAATTATATTACGTTCTCAACCCCCTCTGTGGCTCACTGGTAAGAGCGCCTACCTTTAAACCTAAAGGTCGTGAGTTCAAATCTCATCTGGGTGGAGAAATTTTCGTTTATTAAAAATTAATGAATGAAAATAATTTCTATCCTTGTGCGATCGGTACTCACCGGAGGGACCGCAGACGATCGGATACAATTAGCGTCTCTTAGCAAAGACAATGACGTCGACTTTGCTAAGTATCAAGACAATTGCTCTACATACACACACACAACACTAGGTACCTGACTGTACCATGCCAATGATCTTAGTTGTCGAGGCATAAACTCAATAATAAAAAAAAATTACGTTCTTCGTATCTTGACGGGTGTTCAAAGATTGTACCGATTAAGTCTCAATAATAATACAAAAATTTATTATTTACAACCAAAACAAATGTAGTATGCATGTCAACACTTACAGAATTACTCCAAGCTAAATAGTAAATATATAGTAAACTGCAAAATTGAATTTGCTAGTAATAAACATTTTTAAAACACCAACACCTTTCGATTTTCAAGTTGATTTACTCTGTATACGAAAGTCTATAATAAAAATAGACTTAAAACTTTAATATAAATATAAATATTCAACAAGATGGGATTTCCCTTAGATTGCTTCAGCCATATTTTATCCGTCAATCCCAAATGTTTTCGGGAAAGCTATTAACTTCTGTTTCATCCTGGACAGGATTGCCGTCGATCATGTAAGACAGACGAACTTTAATTCTTAACGCAGCCTACAACATAAATGTTAGAAATTAATAAATGTGTATTGGTATAGAATTAAAAATAATAACAATGTATAGACATTTTGGAAATGTTTTAGTGATTTTAAATCGAACCTAAAATTTGATAAAGAGTGAAAATAGTTAGGATGTTATATAAACGAGACACTAAATCCGGATGAAGAAATTAAAACTCGTATAGAAATTGCAAGAGAAGCATTTATGAAACAGATCTATTCTGAGCAATTCTCAGCTGAACTTATATATGGAAAAAATCGATAAACACTTGTAATAAACGCTGCATACTACAAACAAAACTATTTGAGTATGCAGAGGAAGACAGGACAAAGAAGTACTCTTTTTAATTTACCAAGCTTTCGCAAATCTTAAAATGATAATATATGTAAAGGTAACAGTATACCTAATAGGCGCTGGATTTTCTGAAAAAGAAGAGGCAAAAAGACTTGAAGTAGAAGAGATATTATATATCACATATATAATGAAACTTATATTATTGACGATGAATTGCCTTTATAAGTAGATTTGTAGTTATCTAAGTTTAACAATAATGAGTATAAGTTGCTTAAATTGTTGGTATCTTCTTCTTCTTCTTTGGGTGCCATCTTCTTAGCGAAGGTTGGCGATGACCTCTGCAAATCTTCCCTATTTTGGGCTTTCCTTATTAAACTTTGAAAGTCTAATCCTGTCCAATCTTTGATGTTGCGTAGCCAGGTCTTTTTATTACTGGTTTCTTTCTTTTGAAAAATGAATGCCATCTGGAGAAACAATCTTTTTGATTAATTACTCTCCGAGGATATCATTTTTACATTCGGAAAATCGAAAGAGTGTCCTGTTATGTTAGCATGTGTAGCTAGGGATCATTTATCAGGGTGTAACCTAATGTCACTCTTGTGAAGAGTTAAACGGCTGGAAGCTCTTTAGGAGGTCTGACCTATATAAGAACCTTCACAGCCTAAACAACTAAGTTTGTATACAACATCATTTTTATCTGAATTTGATACTTTGTCTTTCAATGACTTGTACAAAGATCCCACAACTAGAGTGCTTTTATGAGCAATTTTTACATTCGGTAAGTATTGAGCAAAAATTCTGCTCAATTTGGGAGTGACATCCTTAATAAACGGAAGTGATACAAAAGAGAGTTTAGGAATATTGTTAGTCAGTGAATGGGAATCAGAGTTAACTTTCATAGTATCTATATGTTGGGGATGGTTCTCTTGTGTGTTGAGTATAACAGAGGATGTGTTAAAGATGATTTTCCTGAGTAAGGATTCGAGGTAAGAATTATCTAGGACTAATTATAAAAGGATGTTGAGATTTTTCTTTTTAAAAACAGGGTCAACCACTTTATATACTCTTGTGGTCATTTGTTTCACTAGATTAATTTTCATGCTTGACTTGTGGTAACAATGGTAGTTGAGGTATCTCCCAAAGATACACTTTTTTCTATACCAATCAATTGTAATGATGTTGTCCAATTCTCTGGTGAACATTGTGTCACGAAAAGGAACAGAAAGGTGTTGATCCTTTTTTTTTCAAGAATAAATTGAATGTGGGGGTCATATCTATTGAACATGTCTAAGAGCTGAGTCTCTAAACCTAGTGGACAGGACATAATAATGTCATCAACATACTTTTTAATAAAAGGAACGTTAAAAAGAACAACCTGGAGAACAATAACCAGCAGATCGTCCATTACATATAAAGCCATAATTGGAGAGATATTGGCTCCCATAGGAGTGCCGAAAATTTGTTTATAATATTTGTTCTTAAGAGAAAAACAAGTGGAATGAAACAAGAACTCTATCATCTCAACAAACATACCATAATCACTGCTACATACTGAAGAAATTTTTACATAGGGACTCTAGGCAGCCCTTCAGACATGTACTGGACAGTCTGGCAGCATTAAGAATCCTGGAAGTCTAGAGTTGAGTCCAAGCCTGTTCTACACTGCAAAAAAGGTCATTACAATGACCAATTTACTTTGCACGTATGTCGAGGGAAATAAAAGGGCCGGTTTTCTTGCTAGATATAACTCGTAAACTCTTCCCTTGTATCCCAAGCCATCATTGCCTTTCGCTACTGATCCGGGTAGGTTTACGGAGCTTCTATAAAAGTTTCCTGGATACCTGGATCAGCAATTATAATATAAGACTCCACTTAGCGGGCCCTAAAGTGTCGAACAACATAAATCTTCTTTAAAAATATATGTTATTTCCTAAGTCTCATTGACCATTTCAAACTTTCACTGACACCTTCATCTACTCGGATTAAAGGATAATACAATATGTCGCCTAAAAGATGAAACGTTCTCACATGTACTCTATCAGTGCCGAGCTTTGTCCTATAGAGATTACAATGCCTTAGATCAGCATTTATTCAGACGAACCAGATCAAGATGATTCTTTTGAGGAAGGTTGCTACTTTCTGTGAGTTCAAAAGTATTTTCCTAGGAGTGCGTCGAGGACTTCCTTAAATCTAGGAAGGTCTACACCGTTCGGCCTAGTAAAAAAACAATTCTCATACGTACAACACTAGGCAATAACTGTGATATAGTCCTAAAGTACAGGAGTGATACAATAGATCCGCTTAGGTAGTCTAAATATCGTCCTTTAAAGAAATCTACGCTACAATGCAATTAAAATTTCTAATAAATTCAACAATACTAATATTTTACTTTTTTTTTTTAGACATAACCATTGGTTAAAGCACAATAAAATTAAATAATGCGTTGTTACTTACCCTACTTGGATTAGTTACCCTAAAATCTTGTGTTACTTGGCCGTTAGGTGGCAACACTGTACCAGATGGTGAAAACATTTGTAACTGGAATGACTGAAATACATATATAAAATTTTAAACTTTCATTTCTACGTTTAATGAAATTTTTCAATATTAAAGGAACTAAATATGAATATTTCATTTGCTAATAAATACATTAATTATCCCCCAACAAAAACTTTCATCTCTTGTCCGATCAATCAAAGACAACATTCCAAATGAACAACACGGAGATTATTTAATTCCTTGAGCAGACTGCTCCCGATCCTATATAGGCCAAACAAATCGTAAAACCCAAAATAGGATTTATGAACATTTCATTTCTGTTCTTAATTCCGATTTAATTTCAGCTCTAATTCAACACCATTATCGTACAGGTCACAAAATTGATTTTGAAAACTCCAGAACCATAGCCCCCATCCGCAAAATAAGAAAATAAATTACTTACCCTAGGAACAGCTACTTGGAATATATAGTCAGTCATTGTGGATACTGTATAATTTGTCGTAGCGACATTTATAGATAAAGTGTTACTATCTGGTATTTTTTCTAGAGAAAATATTATTTTTAATCCATCTTTTTGATAGGCAGTTACTGTAGGCACGTTCCCTTCTGAAAACAAAAATTTATATTATGAATAATACGATAAATATTTTGCGATTTAAGTTAAATACTTTTTACTACTAAGTAATACCGCTAAAGTACATAATACTGCCAAACATCGGTTTGTTAGGTTAACGGGCAATTAACACTCACTTTAATGTGAGTTGTTTGTTTGTAATATAATGGTAGTTTCGCGTTCGGACCTTAAGGAATTTTAAAGTAACTCGGGCCTATCGCCGGGACTACGAAGAATGAATCTTACAATTGTAATGTATTCCTCTTTCGGACTGTTGGACATAACATAAAGCTACTTACGATAGGTTTTATTAATTTATTAAGCTTTTTTTTTGAACCTATTCTCTATCCTTCTTGAAATTATATCGCCTTGTCGGATTCCTCGACTTTTATATTATCCGTTATTAATTTGTCGTCCAGAATTACGGTCATGGTTGCGTTTTGGTAAATATCATGTATCAATTGTCGGTATCTTGAATCTATTCTACTATTGACCAGAGCTTCTTCAACCGCCCAGTGTTCAATGCTGTCGAAAGCCTTTTCATAATCTACGAATGCTAAGTACAGCGGAAGGTTGTATTCATTGGTTTTCTCAATTAAGATTTTAAGCGCATGTAGATGGTCGATTGTGCTGTATCCTTTCCTGAATTCGGCCTGTTCCACTGGTTGGTAGTTATCAAGTTTATAGGTTAGTCGGTTGTTTATTATTCTTGTGAAAGTTTTATATAGTTGTGACAAAAGGTAATTGGGACGGTAGTTGTTTAGGTCTGTTCGGTCTCCTTTCTTATGTATTAAGATTGTGTTGGCATTTCTCCATTGTTTAGGTATTTTACCTTCAAACAGACATTTGTTGAACAGTATTTTTAGCATTTTTTTTATCGTGTCTCCTCTTTCTTTTAGCAGATCCGCCAGTATATTGTCCTCACCGGCCGCTTTATTTCTTTTCACGTCGTTTATGGATTTTTCGATTTCATCTTCAGTTATTTCTGGTAATACCTCTGAGCCAACATTTTGTATTTTCCTCGAGAGATTCTGTTTAGATGATAGTGGTGGGTCATTTTTAGAACTGTATAGGTCTGTGTAATATCTTTCTGTGATTTTTACTATTTCTCCTAGATCTCTTTCTTGATTGTTCTCAGCTTTAAGCATGATTAGTTTTCTTTTTCCTATATTTGTCTTCATTGTTTTTAAACTTTTGTTCTTCTCTATGATTTTCTTAATGCGATCTTCTTGGTATTTCTTTAAATCTTCCTTTATCTGTTTTCTTATGGTTTTGTTCAGTTTAACTCGGTAAACTTAAGCTTTATAAGAATATGCAAATTAACATTATTTCTGTTCACATGTAGTACATAACCTCAGTGTATTGTCATGTGTGGTTGTCATGTCACCGCTGTCACTTGTGGTTCCGTTTGCCAAGTGCAACGTTGCCAAGTATATCCGTACATGAAAACCATACATAACAACAATAAGGTCAGGTTAGGCTTAGGAGGCGTTCTGGATTGAGATGTGTTTTGAAAATTTCAGACCCTCCTCTATAAAAACGGAAAACAAAAGAGTATAGTGGTAGTTGCCAAAAACTGAAAATATTGAAAAAAACAAGTTTTCAAACAATTTAAACTAAGTTATGGGGACAGATGTTGAACCGGATCCGAAGTAAAAATGATTCCCCATGGGAGAAATCCCCAGACGAGAAATTAAAGCCAACAGGTAATGTAAAAGAAAATTCTTCCCTAGTTGAACCTAGTATCTAGTTGATCGACGAAAAATAGACACAAATTCTTCAAACAATTACAAAAAGGATCTTCTTAAATAAAAATAAAACCGTAAAAACTTATATAAATCCAAATTCTAACCTTTTATTTAATTAGGCTAATTTCAAAAATCGAAACATAAAAAAATGTAAAAAGTAATTCTCAATACAATCAATTGGCGACGTGCAAGTACTTGGAGGGGATACGAGAAACGATCGTGAGCGATTAGTGGAGAAATCTTGCATTTTTACTGCATATTTCATAGATTTCATAAATTCATATTGTCAATTGTCATATTTCATATTCGTTTGTTTATTTACACCTTCTCTCACTGAAGAAAATGGGATTTAGGAAATGCTTTGTTATAAATTGTAAAAATACAACAAAAAATTGTCAATTTAAGTTTTATTCGTTTCCAACTTCGAAGCACAAAGCTACTACAAAGAGAAAAGTGGATTTATATCAGAAAAAAGCATAAGTAACATAACCTAAATTATGCATTATTCTTGCGTCCGATTTTAAAGTCAGTTTGAAATAAATTATAAATAAAAGTTCATTTTTAAGTGTAAATTTTAGTTTCATAACACTCAATTAGAGTTAATTTTAACGCAAAAATTGTAGCGTTTACGCTACTGACTAGTCCAATTTAAACCCCTCAAGAAATTTTTATTACCCGCCTGTGATCGATTTTTAAATCGACATTCCTTTCCCCACGCGCTGTTATCGCTTTGAAAGGAAGATCGATTTTATGCGGAAACCGAACGATCAGTTTTGGTCAGAACTCGAACGCAGCCACGTCAGCCGGTGAAATTGTTCACCTTCAAAGTGACGGAATTGGAGCAAGGAAGATAATTTGGGGAAGAATATAATTCATTAATAATAAAAATAATAAGTAATTTGTATAATAAAATCAATATTCATTTATGAGTTCCACATAAAAAGGAAGAGTTTTTTTTTGGCGTGCTGCGAGCTCCATGTAAGTAAATCATTTTATACGTATTATCTCTTTATCATATAATCAAATTTATCATTGTATTTAGTATTTCTTTAGAGATTTATTTTTGAGTTCCGAAATAATTTAAATATAAAATTTCCTTGATTTACTTGCAAAGAACAGAAGGTCATTTTTTTTATATAGTTAAACTTAAATTCTGTTTTATTCCACGTCGTTATCATTAAGTTTTTTTGGTTCTCTTTTTTACCTAACTTTTTGGTGGAATATAAAAAGGTTCTACAAATGTGGGACAGCCTTCTGTATTCTGCGCATGTTCATTTCATGGCGCAAGCTTGCCATGCCTACGAAAGTAACTTCATAAATTTGACATGATGTTGACTTAACCTAATACCTAATGTTTTGATGTTTTGTTTTGGTGCAGTCAATCCATGCTGCTACACCTATTGAATTGTATTTATTAAATTAAATAATAATTTTAGATTCCGTCACGTGAAAATATTAATTTCACTTCACTTGAGGATATTCTCTTCAGAATATTCCCTCAAGGACTAGTAACTAAATTCCTGAAACTAATTAGCAACTTCTCTCCTGGATTTTGCGGTCACTCCAGATAGACCAGTGACTGGTTTTGTGCACAGACTCCCCTGGGTTTGTCCTTACAGCCACAAACTGATGTAACCGTGCCAAGAGGAATTTTCCTATGGACTTATGGGGCTGTAAAGATAAGTTGTTTGACTGTGTAATTTTTTTTGTTACTACCTATTTTGTTACTATGTATTATTTGTTACTATATATCTAACTCATCATATGCATATGATAAGGTAAATACCTTTGTGATAATTTAATTTTTGATATAATATAATTTTGATATTATTGGGAGAGGGAAAATACATTACATGTTTTTATTAGGTTTTTAACTAGGATTTAGAGAGTCTGACCAGAACTCATTTGCTTTGATATAATTTTTATACTAGCATACTTTTGAGATAATGTAATTGAGATTGGAAAGGGAAATAAATTTCATGTGTTTTTTTTTTAAACATTATATAAAGAGTATTGAAGACTCACTTTTTGGATATAATATAATAATTGTAACAGATTTATCAATTTTGATATATTTACAATATTTGTATCTCATATTAGTAGAACTATTTAAAGTTAAATTACTACCTTTTTGTGTTAAGACTTTGGCTACCCTACGGACTATTCTTGTTGTATACTAATATTTGATATTTTATTTGGCCAGTGGTAGTGACTATTCGTTTGTTGAGGGGCTATTAGGTCCCATTGTATCTGCACACCATCCACTACCACTGTTATTTGGCTTTGCATTATATGTAAATTGTTTATACACATATACCTATATAAATTTTTTATAAATATATTTATTGTTACTATTTTGAGTTTTATTTCAGTTCTACTAACCAGTATATAACATAGCAAAACAAGATTATTATTTAGTATTTTTGTATTTCAGAGTATTATCTCCAGATTCATTTGTTACTTCAAAATCTCAACTATCGTTGAGTTGGCGCCCTTCTTTTCTCTTCCTATTGTTCTCTTTCTATAAATTTATTCCCAGTGACCTTCTTCAGTTGTATCACGTTTGATATTCCCAGGTCTCATTTCTTTCTTGTCTCATTAGCTCATTATCTCTTGTTATTGTTGTTTATATCTTTAAAGCCACAATCCAGTGCATTGAAGCTAGCCCGAACACTCACTTGAGATTTAGTGTCTCTTTGGCCATTTAAATTTGTTCCTCTGAGCTTAGCCCTATTTTTAGTATTTTTTTTCATCACTTCTCTTTCAGTTCTTCTGAAATTTGGAAGTTCTACACTTCCAAAAACCCAATACTCCCGGAGTATTGAGCGTTTCAAAATCAAGTTTAATGTTTAAATTTTATTTTTTTTTTTTTTTGAAGTTTACAAAAATGCTTCAAATTCAAGTTTTTCTAAAGATGCATTAAGAAAGCTGTCCAAAAGTTTACAGGAAAAGAATTAATTGTTCAAACCAATATGATGATATCATGGGCTTAACCTGCTAATTTATGCCTTAGCATTATTTATGGTAATTTATTTTTCTTAATTCTTCCATTCTTTTTTGACATTTGCCACTACTAAAGCTTTTCCCTTTGACTCAGTGCTTGGTTGAAAAGTTATTTGGTGATTTACTTTCTCAAATCCAGTTTTTATTATTGCATCCATATTAACAGTAATGTTGTAATTTAATAATGTATTTATTTGTATTTACACTACATACGTTTACCTTTTAATAACATACCGACATAACCTCAATCTTACTTTTTCTTCTTATTCTTTTTTGGGGCTACGTCCTTGACAGTTATCCGGTAACCTCGATCTAACATGAAAGCGCAGTAAATTTTGGTGATTTACGACACCAGGTGTCGCTGTTCCGAACTTGCACGGTCCCAATAGTGGTTTATTGTGATCTATATCTATAAATCCTGTCCCGTAGAGACCAATATTAGGTCTCTAAAATATAAATTATAAACTGTACTTACCTGTACTTGTATTACTATCACCGAACAGATCTCCCGATAAGAAATTCGAATTCTGATTACTAATTAATACGTTGCTATTATTATTCTCCATGATCAGACCCATATTGTTGCCACCTGTATCCGTTGTTGGTGTAGACGAAATGGGACCGAGGCCTAATAAGTCTAAGAGATCCTGGTTGTTGGTATTTGAAAGAGACGTGGTGATAGGCTGCGAATTCGGCTTTATTATATCTAGATCTGTTCCGCTGTCTCCTCCTAACAGGTCCAATAAGGCATTCTAAAATTGAATTTCAATATATTTTATACATAAAAACAATAACAAGTATGGATGATTCTAAAACAATGATAAAAATGTAAATGCTTATTTGGCCAATCAACGTACATTATAGCATTTCAAATCACCCTGTAAGTATGAAAACACCGAAATATTTTTTCAATCCAATTGCGTCATTGGGATTAGTAATATAATCATTTCTGGTTTGTATATAATAATTTTTTAATTGCATTCTTTTGATCATGAAGCCGCTTTAGGATATTTTGGGTGTCAAATAAATAGGAATATTTACATTTATGCTTTGTTTATACCGGGTTGGCCGAATGATGTCTACAATGGATCGCCGAAGTGGTCACTTCATTGTTTAGTCCAGATTTTTCTTTTTTAAATTTGTTATTGTTGTTCGTTATTGGGTTTTTGTTATTAAAAATAAGTGTAAAGTGATTTACTCTACGATAGAAAGGCCAAAGCGTTGGGTTTTATTGTTTTCTTGTAGTTGGCGGGTGTAGAGACATCTTTGCGAGCAGATTAAATTTTTCGGTCATAATTATGGCGCAAAGGAAAAGTAGTAGCTCTAGTTAAACCAGAAAAATATCTTGAATCGGATACGCCGTAGATATCCAGAAAGCAGTGGATTCTAAACTGATTATTTTTTGTTTAGTCTTTGGTTAGTATAGTTTTTAAACTAAACTAATTTGTTTAAATGAGTATAAGTTAGAATATTTCCTTTAGGAAGGGTGCACTAACACTCAAACACTGGTCAAGTTTTTTTTTTAATGAAACACCTAATTGCGCCAGTTAAGGGGACAGTCTCATGCGAAACTTTCAAAAAATCAAAAAAATTTTTTTTACATAAATCGCTTCCATTTACATTCAAAAACTCCCTCCTAAAATTTTAAAAAGAAATTCCCACTAGAATATAAGTTATAGTTATTTTATTAACGTCAGATACACACGTATGAAAACCGGTTTCTCTCCGCGCGGCGAGCGCGAGGCTCCAGCTGTTCTTGCTTTTGTATATATTATGTTGTATATACGTTGGGTATGTATTAGTGATTTATTTTTATATAGTATGTATAACGTTTGGCAGTTACTATACACATTTGGAATTTAAAATCCGGAACATAGGATTTTTTACAAATACTAAGATTCTCTGCGTTGCAATTAACCAGTGTATATTTCTTTATAACGTCGCGATGTTTTATAACTAATTTATTTGTTCCACTGGATTACTATTACTTCTCCTCAGCGGTTTGTAGTAGCGTATATGGCACGCCGACAGTGTTGCTCCGTCTACCGATTTTTCCTGAAAGTCCGGTTTTGTGCAGATAATAAATAATGTTTTATTAACATCAATTTTGTTTGTGTTCATTAGGTATTATTTAAGTTATAAAATTTATACTTAAATACATTTATTATTCCAAATATTGTTTATAATTTCAAATTAAAAAGAGTAATATAATTATTTTATTTTTAAAATTCCTTTTTATTTTTAATTTTAGAAATCAACTTTTTTTCACGCCGTTTTGGCAATAAAACATAACCATTTTTTTAGTTATAAAATATTTTCATATCTACATTTATAAATAAGTAGATACGTTTTCGTTAAATTGACATGCGATCTAGGTGTGTTCCGTTTTTACACTTACACTGTCAGCATCGCGGCGTGAATTGAGACTCCAGTCGAACTAATGAATTAATTATAAAACATCAAATCAAAAAGAAAAAAGCTTTACAAAGCCATTTACAACAACTGTTGGATGAAGAGGGACCTCAATATTCACCAGGAATAGCCGATTAAACGTGAGTATAAAGTTATCAGCCATTAATTCACGAAAATTATGTAAAAAAAACTTTAAATGCTTTTTTCTCAAAAGTAACATTTTCAAACTGGTCAGACACTTTTCTCCGAACCTTCTTAACCGATTTTAAAAAACCAAATATTTTTCGAATGTATATACAAAAGACTAGATGATAAACCTTTAAAATATTTAAAAACCACCCCCCCCTTTTATTATATATGGGTAAATCCACCCAAAAACATAGCGAATTTTCGACTTTTTTGAAAAAACTCGTATAAACTCTTCAAAATAATACAATTTGCATATTTTAAAGGTTTATCATCTAGTTTTGAGTCTTACGAATACAACCCATTTTGAATTTTTTTGAATATCTGTTACCGGTGACCCAGAAAGTGTCTTACCACCAAAAACGCACTTTTTACTACACGCCATCTACAGGACACCAATGAAGTTAAAATCGCTATTAAAATTTTTTTTATGTACTTCAAGACTTACTTAATCATCTCCAAAAGGAATTATGTTAATAAATATTATAGTTTTTTTTTTCTGCTTTAATTTTAAAATGTGTCTCTTTTTTTTTAATCGCATGAGACTGTCCCCTTAAAATAATTCTAAGAAATAATGAATTACTTACAGAATCACTATTTACATTATGTTGAGGACTATCTTCATTAGATCTTGGTTCAGAATCGCTAACGTCTCCATTTGTTTGATTCTCTGTTTGCGTTCGTGTTATCTCCATCGGAGGCATTCTTTCCAACAAAGCCGGTCTCAAATGTGAATATTTACCGAACAGTTGAGAATACTCGACGCCCCTTTGTTGTAGTTCTACGTGCAAACTCGAACAGAAAGAGCTGATGATTTGCTGAATTTTACTAAAAATTGTGGAAATTTAAATTATAACGTACTTAAATGATTTATCGATAATGTATTTTTACAGTACAAGTAAAAATTATCACAGATATATTCTTTCAATGTACTAAAAATGATAAGGAAAGAACCTCTTTTACGCCAATATCAATTCAACTACAGTTTCCTCAAGCAGCAAATAATTGTATTTTATTAAATTTTATTTAGTTTTATTTAATTTTACTGTAACCTATATTTTAGCAATTTTGCGAACAAATTAATTACTGGTGAATTTCTAAAATTTATGAGTAGGAATATTTTAATCATCAATCTTTTATACAGGGTGTTTCAAAAAAAGGTAACCCCGTCTCTATATATATATATATATATATATATATATATATATATATATATATATATATATATAATGACTATACACCCCAGTGTGGGGTTAAACCGCAAATGCTTTCTAGTTCCTATTTCTTAAGTGGATCAGTCTTTTTTGTTTATCTTATCTTCTTGACAATATCTCTCCATTTTTCCTGTCTCTAGTTCTTCCTCTCCATTCTCTGACTCCTGCCCTTTGGAGGTCTTCTTCAACTTCTTGCAGCCACTTTGATCTCGGTCTTCCCCTTCTTTTTCTTCCTCTTAGATTCCATTCTATCATTGCGTATGTCACTGCCTCATCGCCTGCTCGCCAAATGTGACCTAACCATCTAACTCTGCATTGCTTTATTTTAGTTACGATGTCTTCCTTAAGTTCTTCCTTAATTTCTGCATTTGTTCTGCTTCTATATTCATTTTGCTCTGTTCTGATTGGCCCTAGTATGGTTCTCATTATCTTTCTCTCTGCTATTCTTAAGTCTTCTTCATCTTTTTTAACCATCGTACTTCTTCATTACTCATTTTATTGAAATTCCACTTTTTATATTGGTTTTTTTGTTTTGTTTCAATTTTAACTTTTTGTCTTATAGTGGCTGTGACCATGTAGTGGTCTGAATCTGCACACGCACCTCTGAACGTTCTTACATCTTTTATTGACGATTGTTTTCGTTTATTAATCATTATGTGATCAATTTGACTATATGTTTTCTGATCTGATGACCTCCATGTTACCTTATGTATTTTAGGGTGTTCAAATTTTGTGGCGCTTATTAACAAATTTGTTCTTGTTGCTAGGTTACATAGTCTTTGCACATTGTCATTCGTGTTTTCGTGTATTGTATGCTTTCCTGCAATTTGTTGTAAAAAGTCCTCTTTTCCAATCTGGGCGTTGAGGTCTCCTAGTACAAATATGACATCTTCTTTGGCTATTTTTTCTATCCCCTCTTCTACCCTACCATAAAAGATTTCCTTTTCGTCTGCATTGCTTGTTTCTGTGGGGGCGTATAAATTCAAGACTGATATATTAAATGGTTTGCTGTTGACTCTAACATAGGCCATCCTTTCGCATATTGGATTGAAATTTATAATTTTCTCTCTTAGGTGCCTTAATATCATGAATCCCACGCCTTTTTGCCCTTGCTTCTTTCCTCCTGAATATAACATTGTAAAGTCTTGTTTATCAATCTGTCCCTGTCCCTCCCAGCGTAATTCTTGCCGTGCTGCAATATCTATTGTATACTTTTTGAGTTCTTTTCCTATTTCTAGCATTTTTCCTGGAGCTAGCATAGTTCTTATGTTCCATGTGCTTATTTTCATCTCTTTATTTTTTTTTCTGTTGTATTCGTCTTTTATTTTTGTTTTCTTGTCTATATATCTTTATTTCACGTTTGTTGTACCAGGGATTATCTGCAATTATTACTTCATAATTTTCAAATCAAAATACCAGTTTTACCAAGAGTACCTTTTTCGTGTAAAACTGAATGATGTTTAAGTTTACTTGAAATTTTGATTAATAATTATGATCTTAAAAAAGTTATACTGACTAATACTTAGTACGATCCGTGTAACTAGCGCCCTCTATGAGAATCAGATATAAAAACAAATGCATGGGATGTATCAGCTTCCAAAACATATTCGTATAAAATTTCATTACAATGTTGCCAGTAGTTTCGGCAAAATCGTAAAAAATGCGTAAAATTTTTTTTCTTAAACGCCCTGTATCTTGAAAACGGATGGCGTTACAAAATTTTTTTACTAAGCAAACCCAATTATTTTTCAGTTTTTTACCTACCCTAGAGACGGGGTTACCTTTTTTGAAACACCCTGTATAGAGAGTAGCACTGAAGATGGAATATTTATTCCAAAAAAAATTCTGTGATTTAGTCCGAACAAGTTTTTTTAAATAAATGTACCTTTTATAAAAGATTTTTTACTAAAAAAACTTTTTTGTGATACACAGTCGACAACAGAAAATTAACTTTTCTTTGTGGATTAAAACAATATACTTACTTGTGAGTAGAATTAAATCTAGTGCTCAATTTCATCAAACTCATAAGGGTAAATTGTTTAGTCATGACAGTATTCTGAGTAGACCACAACAGTCGTTGATACACCTCTATGACCTCTTCTTCTGTTGGAACCGTTACACCATTTTCATCATCTTGAGTTCCTTGAAGCAGTAAATCACCGTACTCGCCTATCGCCCAAACTGCTACCTGAGTCAAAGGCTGTCTGTTCTGAAGGTCCTCTGATAGCGCTTTAAACAACTGAAGACTGACATAGGCCTGCTGACTATTGCTGTCAGAAATTAATTGGATGGTCGAACTGATGACGTCGTCTCGAACGTAATTACCAGCCTACAAAATTAATTTATTACTATATATGAGGCCATTATTTGCAAAACTCGCTAATCGACAAAATTTTAGAAACATGTTTTTTTGGTTAAGTATATTTCAATTCTAAATAGAAATCGACTGATACAATTAAAATTTCACAAAACTCGTTCTTTAGCATACAAATGATGTAGAGAAAATTACAGTTATTTGCAGAACTCGCTCTTTGCTTTGAACGTTTACTTGCAAAACTCGCCGTTTGCTCTACCGCCAATGAAATTCGCCGGTTGATTCACGTGACCAACACGCTATTACAACAGCTGTGTTGAAGAAACGGATTTTCAGTAGTTTATAATTATTCAAGCTACTAAAGAGTTGTATTTTGGCGAATTAGTAACAGTTTTTTATTTTTATGGAGTTAGAAAGTGAAAATGTTTGTTTTGTTAAACCTAGTCCATAGGGAAAAGGACGCAAAAAGTTCTTCAGTCAGAAACACATAAAAGGAATGTCGATAAACTTGCTAGGTAAGTTATTAAAATTTATGATTTTAGACTAAAACGTACCATGTACGTTTGAGTGAGGGTAAGATGATTAGAGTATGTGCCAAGTCGTTTCTAGGAATCACAAATTTAAGCAAGGACCGCATACAAAGAATTGTAAGAAATTTTGTTGTCACTGGGGAGCTACCCAGAGAACGTAGAGGAGGCAATAGAGTGGGTCCAAAAAATGATGAAAAAAGAAACTGCATAAAAAAATTTATAGAATCCATAACATGTACAGAGTCTCATTACTGTAGAAGCAAGACAAGCGTGAGGGTCTACTTGCCATGTGATTTGAATTTTAAGAAACTTTTCGACCATTATCTTCGGAGAGTGCCTCAGCCTATGCATGTGAAGCTTAGTTATTTTAGAAAGTATGTTAATGTCTACTACAACATCGCTTTTGGAACTCCGCTGACTGACTGTTGTTCCACTTGCTTGAGAACAAAGAAGCTGTTGAAAATAACAACTTCTTTAGCTGTTCGGCAAAAGTTAGCTACTGAGCATCGTGTTCATATCGTAGAAGCAAAGGCTTTTTTCCAACTACTTAAAAATCCAACACCCAACACAACTTACTTTTGATTTGACTGCCAAAAAAACTTGGCACTGCCTAGACTGCCTGATCAAGCAGCATATTTCAGCCAGCAAATAAACTATAATAATTTTACAATTGTTGCTGGAACTTCTACCGATAAATTAACACCAAGGAATGTGTTTTCTTACGTGTGGACAGAAATTGACGCTCGAAAAGATTCTAATACAATAGCGTCAGCTTTGCAACATGCTCTAAAGAATTTTGATTTTGATGTCAGCATAGAAGCAGTACCGTTGTTCGCTGATGGTTGCGGCGGACAAAACAAAAATTCTAATATGATGGCAATGTTGGCTTATTGGCTTCTAGAAGAATCGCCAAAACATATTAAACAAATTGAATTAATTTTTCCGATCGTAGGTCATTCCTTTATTCCGCCTGATCGCATCTTCGGCCTTATAGAAAAAGACATTAAAAAAATGCCCGTTATCGTGGAAATTAGTGGCTACGACGATTTAATCAGAAAGCATTCCACTGTACGGAAAATCGGTATCGACTGGGATGTGTTTGATTGGAGGACACAAACAAGACGAGTTACTAAGCTCCCTAATTCATGGCACTATGAATTTAATAAGGCAAAGAGGTTTATTTTTTACAAAAAAGACAAAAATGTTCTAGTCCAAGGTGAACCCAATTACCGCAATGACGTTGGAAAAGCTAAAAGCGTGTGCAAGAAAAATTTTTCACTTTCTTCAATGGCTCCTAAGAAATTACCACTGGGAACAGAATTAAAGGGGATAAAGGAACTATTAATAATCTCCTTTCCAAACACTATGGAGAAAATTGGAGAAGACTTCCTGAACTAAATTTTTACAAAGAGCACCTAAAGACAGGTTCTACCTCACCAGAAGAAACCGTTGCTGGTTTGGAAAATTGCCAAAATGCAGAAAACGACTGTTTTTTTGTTTGAGCATGACTGATTGAGACTGCTTTTGATTTTTTTTGTTCAAAAACTTTCTTTATATGATTAAAAATGTTAAAGTTTTATTTTCATGAATAAATCCCTTATGCTTTTTATTGAACTAAATACAGTTTATTATTATTTTAGAAATTTATTTGCAAAAGTGGTTATTTGCAACAAATATTATTTTTTTTTCTAAAAATCTGTAAATATTTTAGGCTAGAAACTTCTAATTTCCATTGCTAAAACCTCTAAAAAACATTAATAAAATTCTTTACGTTGTGAACTAAACACTACTCGGCTGTTAATCGTTTTTTTCGATTTCCCAAAAAATTACTTCCAAGCAAAGAGCAAGTTTTGCAAATAATGGCCTCATATCATATCCATAGTTCCGGTTTGTAGGTTTTTTCCCTTTTAACGATAATTATCAAAGAATATGACTTACCGCTACTAAAACTTTCAAAAGAGTGTCCAAATGCCACCTTTTATTCGGTGAATATTTCTCTGCCGCTAATACTATGGAACTGGAACACTGGGCTTTAAACTCGGGATCTGTCTTTTCCAAAAATGTTAATAGCTCCTTCATCATCGTCCGAATATTCTGAGAATTGACCAAAGCGAACGACAATTCCATCGCCCTTCTTCGTATCGAAACGTCGGGATCTTTCAAGCACTCTAAGATTGTCGACCGATGTCGCTGAACTGCAGAAGTATCTACATGAACCGTCCTCAGTAGTGTATTTAAAGCTACGTATCGTATATTTTTATCGTTATTTAGCAAAAATCTTCCAAGGATATTGACGGCTAATACCTTAAAATATAAACACAATAAGTATAATGCTCAGTTAGTGCAATTCTGAATCAAAAAATATGTTATTTATTGAAGAATATGACTTTGCACTTTGTACTGTATATTTTTTCATATTTATATTACTCCTTCCTATAATTCATGTTCTTATAATATTGGGCTTTGTATTACTATAAAAAGGATTTAGTTATGACCATTTCGAAATCCCTATGAAATCAACACCATGTATATATAGACGTAATGCATAAACAATTGATTTATTTTATGTAATAAAGTAAGGTAAGAACGTGTACCTCTGGACATTTCACAAAATGTTACTTTTGGATTTTTTTATTAGACAAATTATAAAGCTAAGAAAAAAATCTTTTTGTGCAACGTGTTTATCAGACTGTTTTGAATTATCGTGAATTTTGTATAATCTATAAGTTGCACCATTTTAAAATCAACAAGCATTTGTTAAAATTCTGTCATACATAGGTATGTCCACCTTTAAACTAGTAGACAAGTTGATAAAGTCAACTAAAATAATAATAAAATACTGTTTAATGGATACTTATATTAAAACATTGTCAAAAAGTATAATTGTCAAAACACATATTGAATTTAATATGAGAGATAAAACCTTTTTGATGCTCCCACGCTTTGAGGCAGTGGTAATTTAAGCACTATATCTTGAAAATCGAGTGCATATGATTGTTCTTTTCCTTCTGTAAAATGTAAGATTTGTTGCGTTTTCTCATAAAATTTTACAATACAATTAGTATCATTATCAATCGTTTCCAGTACTTTAGCTACGTAATGTGTTTTTTTTTATTATTATTATTTGAAATTAAAGTGTCTCGACAACTATGGGCCATTGACCATGGCCATATAGGCCACGGTACAAAGTTTATTACAGTATGTTTACGTTTACATACAGATACAATCTGTTTATATACAAGTTAGGATACATTAACAACATCTTCATATAATTACACTAAGTAGTAAAGATGACAGTCTTTTAGGAAACGAATTATGGTACTGTACATGTTTGTAGAACCGAGTAGATCACTGAAGTTATTTTGAAAGTTGTAGTAGTGTCTTTGTGGTTTGTAGTGGACACATTCTAGTAATATGTGCTGGACTGTTAAGGACTCATTACAATGTTCACAGCGAGGATGATTTTCAGAAGACATCATATATCCATAAGTAAGACGGGTGTGACCAATTATGAGCCTTCTGATAATGATATTGTCTTTTCTGCTCATTTGAGGCATGTTCCAGTGTGTTTGCCAAGTGCTTAGTACGTTGTTCTTGATACTGGCCTTTAGGTCTTGATTAAGTTGTATGTTTTTCGTATTTTCTAAGGAGCAGGCCAGTTTTGCCGCATGATCAGCGTTCTCATTTCCAATGATACCAACATGGGATGTTATCCAGATGATAGGTTACTGAAACACCATTTTTTGACTCTTGTTGGCAGATACTATGGATGCACTGTACAATGGGATGTATGGAGTATATATTTCTGATTGAGTCAATGGCGGAGAGAGAGTCGGTGCATATTGCTAATAATTTCTCATTAGCAATGGGCGAATCTAATGCCTTGAGTATTCCATACAGTTCGGCTGTGTGTATACTGCATCTGGGAGAAAGCCAATGTGACGCTACTATTGTGTTTGAGGTACCGACGGCACAACCGACGGCCTGTTCTTCTTTGGAGGCATCTGTGTAGAGCATTTTTTCATGTGTCTGTATAAGTTCCTCAAATGCTTGTACCAAGAGAGTTCGGGGTCTTCTTTTTTGTATCGGTTCAAGCTGATAAGAACAATAGGTAGCTTTTTGGTCCACGGGGGAATTCTGGAGGTAGTAAATGGAGTTGTGAATTTTAGGTCTGTGTCTTTTAGTAAAGTTTTTAAAATTTGTGAGAGAGAATGTGCTTGAGGGTGACTATTATCTGGGACAGGGTGTGGAGTATTAATTAGTTTAATTACTGGGTTTTTTGGATTAGCAGTAATTATAGAAAAGTAAGATAGAAGTAGACGTTGCCGTCTTATAAAAAGTGGAGGTTCTGATGATTCGATATAAAGACTTTCAGAAGGACTTGATTTAAAGGCGTCGAGGCTAATGCGTAAAGAAGTGTGAATTGTATTCAGACATTTAAGGTGAGTATTGGAAGCAGATATGTAGAGATTGCTTCAGTAATCCAACCTAGAGCGGATCAATGTTGAAAAGGAGATCCATTTAGGTGAAGTAGATGAGGGTGAGTGTGATGTCTTCTAGAGAAGTTTATGACTTTAGATTTTCCAGATGAAAATTTGACTCCAATTTCAGTGGACCAGTTATGGAAATTGTTAAGAGTGTTTTGAAGTAAAGAGCATGTGCTCCTTGTATTGTGCCGTGTATGCTCATTTTTATTTGATTATTTGCTTGAATTATTTCTGTTTGGAGAAGTACCAGGTTATCCATCGTACTTCGATTGGATCTGAATCCCGACTGTGCTACATCTATCAGATTGTTTTCTTCAAGAAACCAAAGCAAACGTTTATTTATCCTCTTTTCTAGTAGTTTGCACATTGTAAATGTTACCGAGATTGGCCTGTAGGCACTGGCAGCGTTAGAAGATGAGTTATTTTTCCTGATCGGTATGATAAACGACTGTCGCCAAAGACTCGGAAAGCTTTGGCTGAACCATATGTTATTGTAGAGCGCAAGTAGCTTCAAGAGGGTTCCTGCCTGTAGATGTTTGAGAAAGATAGACAGGATGTCATCAGGACCTGCAGATGAGTTTTTCATTGATGAAATTGACAAATTTAACTTTACTTCTGTGAAGGCGAGGTTTATTGGATAGATTTGGATAGGGTTAGGCTACGTAATGTTAAATGAACTTTTTACAGCAGTTTAACCAAAATAAAGTCTCCTACTACTATATGAAGATCCATTTCTGATTGAAACTCAGAAAAATCATGCTGTTCAACCATATTATCATAATCCATTTCATTAGACGTGTCTCAGAAGGATATTTGATCGTCATCTTTACCATCAGATGAAGATCTAGAAGGAAGTTTAATCAGCTTCTTTTTTACTTTTTTCTTATATTCTCTTTCTTTTGACGTTGACTTTTTCTTTCTGTTTAGCAGCTCGGACAAGCTTTAGAAGCTTCCCTGGTGTACTGGTTAAAATTCTAGATTTTCCTTTCTTCCGCATTCCTCTGTCTTGTAAATCTTTTCTAGCTAGCGCTTTTGGAAACGGCGATATAGATTCTATAACTCCGCTATATCTATTGAAAGGCATATCGGTTACAGGTGACGTATATTTACGCTGTAGTACAGCCGAAGACTCTGAAGTTGGATCATCAGCTTGAAAAGAAGTAGCCAGAACAGGAATAGAAACGGAAATAGACGAAACAGGAATAGAAACGGAGGTAGACTAGGTAGATAAATGTTCAGCTGGGATTAAAGTCAAACAATTGGAAGTTGGGTCACCAGGAGCTAGATGAGGTAGATTTACCAGTTGTTATCTCCGATCGATCTGTGACATATGATTGCAGATATTCTTCTTCTGTAAAAATATTGGTGTTAACTGAACACAAACCTGTAACCTCAAAACTTTTAATAATATTTTTTGGTGTGAATGCTTGTAGATAAGCTTTTCCTGCAATTCCTGCCAATTTTTGCGGGGACGCAGTCTTGGCTTTCCTTGGCTAGCCTTGGTTTACCAGGATTATTTAACATCCAGTCTTCTGCAGTTTTGTGGTAAAAAGTTTTATAAGGACCAAAATAGTGGTAAAGGAAAATATTGAAAGTTTCGAGATGTGGTGCTACCGTCGAATGCTGAAGATTAGTTGGGTTGAAAGAATAACAAACTGTGAAGTAATACGAAGAATAGAAAAAGACCCAGAGATTTTGTTAACGCTAAAGCGAAGAAAACTCGAATATTTTGGTCACCTGATGAGAGGACATAAATACGCATTACTTCAAAATATAATGGAGGGAAAAATAGAAGGAAAACGGAATCCAGGCCGTAGAAGAATGTCATGGTTGCGGAATTTGAGAGAGTGGTTTGGCTGCACCACTAATGAACTCTAGGTCAGCCGTAAACAAGGTCAGAATAGCCTTGATGATTTCCAATCTCCGATAGGAGTGGCATAAAAAGAAGAAGAAGAAGGACCAAAAACCACTCGGTACAAGTGCTGCAACTTATGCGATGTATGCGGATGAATTGGTAATAAAACCACACCGGAATTTTTGACACAGCAAATCAAATTTTTCTTAAAATTTGTAGTAAAACAAAAACTTATACTTACTCTCAGACCTCCTTCGGATTTGATGTCCATTATTGATAAAACAGTTTCATATAAAATGGTATTGCCAACATTCTTACTGGTTTCTGTATTGGTAGCTACTTGTGCTAAGATATCGTTCATAGCTTCTGAGGCATCGACGTCGTTGATTCCCAATACTCGTAGCAGCTTCAATATTTTTACCTGTGGCAAAAAAAAATAAATAAAATATGATCATCTACTCGTCATATTTTTCAACGATGCATCAATTAACAACTCACTGAAGGATCTTGAACATAAAATTAACTGACGGCAAATCTATGATTTTAGAAGTTGAGGGAAAGAGAGGTAAAAGAAAGGCCAGGATAAGGTGAAAGAACTGTGTAGCAGAGGAGTTGAAAGACAAGGGTTTAAATAAAGGAGGCACGATGGACAGAAATAAGTGGTGAAGAAAAGTAAGGAACTGCGATACTTGATAAGGAAGAAGCTGAGGAAAAAGTAAATTATTTTTACAACCAGATTTAAACAACTTTCATTTCAATATGCTGAATTATATAACAATGGTAACAAAAATAACAGATACTGAACTTACTTGTAAAAATGGATCACTAACACCGGAAACATCATGCTCTGGAGAATAGCCTGCCAATATCAAATTCTTTAAAATCCTTACAAGATTTGGCACGATCTGAAAATTTCAAAAAGAAACAAATTTATTAAAACATTATTTTGGTTAAATGACGTTAAGTGTTTACCTTTTTGAAATGGTTCAAAGTATCAGGACTATTTTCACACATTTCTGTAATAAGTGTCACTCCTGTTATTAAAACACCTAAAAAATAAAAGAAATATATAATAATTTCGCCTCAATACATCTTTACATTCTTTATATAAAGTTCAGTTAAAATAACAATATTTCTCCTCTTTGATTTTGGCAGTATATGAAGCCAGTGTTGCTTTCTGCGCATACGATGACCTTTATATAAGATATAAAGACATCAGAAAGGGAGGAGATTAAATATGTTCAATCTTGAACTCGCTGGTTTGGGTATGTATACTACCATAAAAAAATACCAAGCGAGTACACTAATATGAAATTCTATTTAGAAACTAATAAAAGCAAAAGACAAATATACATAAACATATATACATTCAAATATAGTGAAATATAAAGGGCTACTTCTTCTTCTTCTAATGCCGTCTCCAATAATTCAGCCATACGCCTGGAGGGATTCCTCTTTCCTCTAGTTCTTTTTCAATTCCCTCTCTCCAGCTTCTTCTCGGCCTTCCTCTTTTCCTTCTCCCTTGTGGTGTCCACGTCAAAATATGTTTCGGAATCCTGTCATCTGGCATGATTAATGTTGACTTCGAGACCCCATTGTTATATTCTTCTATTAGCTTCCGAGTCATGTAACTCAAGTCGTCATGATCCTGAGCAATCAGTATTTGGTCATCAGCTAAACATAAGGTGTACAGTGTAGTCTCGTCATTGAGAGGGATTCCCATGTCATTACATTTTCTTTTCCACAGCTTGAGTGCTTGTTCCAGATAAATTTTGAAAAGGGTAGGCGAAATACAGCAACCCTGCTTTAGTCCTTTCGTGACCTTAAATCCTTCAGATATCCTTGATCCAGTTTTAATTTTTGCAGTCGTTCCATTATACGGACGTTGGACTGCTTTAATAAAACCATGCTTAATGTTGGTTTGCTGTAGGGTTGACCATAGTTTACTTAGGGATACACTGTCATATGCTTTTTGTAAGTCTACGTACACCAAGTGAACTTCTTTATTGACGGCTGTTTTTTCTCAATAACTTGCGTAATAGAGTACAGGTGGTCTACTGTGGATCGCCCAGCTCTAAAACCAGCTTGCTCCTCTGCTTCGTAATATCTATAGTCATTTTATATTTTGTTCTTAATAAGTTTCCCATACATCCTACTTATTGTGCTGTTTACCGCAATTCCTCTTTAATTTTCACACTGATAGTTAATAATTTGTGGATAGTTGACATGATAGATAATTTCCATTCTTTTGGTAATTCGGCCCCATTCAAGCAATCTTGAAAGAGTTTTCTTAACTGTTCCTGGAGTTTGTCTGCACCGGCTTTCACTAATTCTGCAGGCATGTCACCTATCGTGTTGTCTTCCATGTCAGTAAATTCTGGTCTTTGTTCTGTTAGTAATTTTTTGAAATATTCTTTCCATTTTTCTGTTGTTATTGGTGATATAAAGTCTTTTTTCTTATTATTTCTCATACTGTTAATCAATCTCCTACTCTCTGTGCTTATTCTCTTTGGTAGCAGGTAGGAACTCCTTTTTGGATAGTCCTATCAGGGAAAGTGAATCAATCCCTGCCTTCCACAGATTCCAGATGTTTCCTGACCCGGGAAACTAGTACCTGCTAAGGGTCCCTTATCCAGGGTCACGGATGAAGTCCACAACGGCATCCAGGGCGGAGAAGAAAAGACAATTACAAAGAAATTTCCTCATCTTCAAAAAGGGTGCTCTTGATCGCTCTATTCTTGTGCAAATTCCTGATTTTGGGTTTTTGGCCACTTGCTCAAGCATAACGGATGTTGTTTATATTTTCATCATTTATCTGTAGTTCACATCGATACTCCATACCGAGCGGACGTTAAATGGTTCTCTGTTATCAACATTCGACCGGTTTTCTCGATTTGAACAGATAAATGTGAAGTGATTAAAAAGCAATCAATTAGTAATAGACTTAAAAATAATAAACTCATCAAATTAAATTTAAAAACAATACAGTAATTTATTTATAATGTTTCCAACGGGAAATGGACCAGGATTCGACAACTACATAGTTAGCCAACAAATACAAAATGTAAACAGCCAGCCATTACCAATCCAGTATCCATCAAACCAAATGAATTGTTACCCACAAATGCAGATTCCAAACAACACACAGGGTCAATCACAAATCAACAATATACAGGGTTATCCACAAATCTCATCACAAATACCAGGTATGTACAATATGCAAATAAATCAACCAACCACTAATTCTTCGACGAATATGATATTTCCGCCCAATCAAGAACAATATATAAATCAACAAAACGCGGCACACAACAGCAATATAAATAACAGAAATAGCCAGCAATACTACAGAATGTCATCAACAAGCGATGACGAACCAGAAAGTGCAAATGTGTCAACAAATAACTCATGGCAAGTAGTTAAAACTACAAAACGCAGAAAAATCAGATCAAATGTAGAAACAGACAAAGAAGATGATACCATTACACTATCGAACAAATATAATACCCTAACGGATACCCAAGAAAATGAAACCAATCAAAATGAAACAGCGCCAAGAATACCTAAACCACCACCAATATTTGTTTACGATGTAAGCGACTTCCCAGAAATGAGGAAAAAATTTACAGAAATAGCTGAAGCTGAACAATACGAAACCAGAACTATGGCAAATAATACAGTCAAAATAATTTGTAGCGATCCAGAAATATACAGAAAATTCTCCAGATATATGAGAGAGAACAACATTATTCATCACACATATCAACCAAAGGAAGAAAGGGCCTATAGAGTCGTAATTAAATACCTTCACTATTCACATGCAACAGAAGACATCAAAGAAGAACTGACAAAACTGGGTCACAAGGTAAGAAACATCATTAATGCTAAACATAGGATTACAAAAGAGCCGATAAATATGTTCTTTGTTGACCTTGAACCATCAGACAATAACCAAGATATTTATAAAATTCAGAAACTACAACACTGCAATATACAAATTGAACCACCTATAAAAAACAAAAATATCATCCAATGTATGAGATGTCAATTATATGGCCATTCAAAAACATATTGCAATAGACCATATGTCTGTGTGAAATGTGGAGGACAGCACAGTACAAGCAGTTGTAAAAAGAACAAGAACACACCAGCTACATGTGCTTTATGTGGAGGAGATCACCCAGCTAACTATAAAGGATGCGAATATTATCGTAATTTAAATAGAAATAAAAATATAGCACAAACTACATATAATCATCACCAAAATATGTCGCAAGCACGTAACAGAAACTTTATACCCAACACAGTAAGACCAAATGTAAGCTATGCTAATGCAGCGGGTAATAGACAACCTCCTGCTGCTCCTTCAGATAACCAAGATTCAAACACCATTCTTATGAAGTTTTTAGAAGAATTCAAAGCCATGTTTAATCAAATCTTGCAACAAAACAGCATGGTAATAAACATGCTAAGTAAACTCATATGCAAATAAAATTCTTTCTACGAATAGCAGAATGGAACGCCAATGGCCTGCTGAATCATAAGGACGAGGTGATAATATTTCTACAACAAAATTTTATAGATGTATTATTAATAAGTGAGACACATTTTACAGACAAATCGTATTTTAAAATACCTCAATATCTAACGTACCATACTAACCATCCAGACAAGACAGCCCATGGAGGTACAGCAATTTTGATCAAACAATCAATTAAACATTTCATGATGGAAAGTTATATAACAGACTGTATCCAAGCTACAGTAATTAAAGTGTGCTCATTACCTTACGAAATAACAATAGCAGCAGTGTATTGCCCTCCAAAGCACAATATTAAAAAAACCGATTTCGCATCCTTCTTCAATACTCTAGGTCCAAAATTTATCGCAGCTGGTGACTTCAATAGTAAACACACGTACTGGGGATCAAGATTAATAACAACAAAGGGGAGAGAGCTTTATAGCTTAATGCAAGAAAATAAATACTCATATTTATCAACAGGAACACCAACGTACTGGCCAACGGACCCCAAAAAAAGACCAGACCTCTTAGATTTTTGCATCATAAAAGGAATATCTAACACCTTTATGGACATAGTTCCAAGTTATGATCTATCTTCAGATCATTCACCAATTATTGCAACAATTAGCACCTGCGTTATTAACAAACAACCTACTCCAAAACTGCATGGACCTAGAACAGATTGGAACGTTTACCGAAAAATACTGGATGAAAACATTAAACTAAATGTAAGACTAAGAAGCCCTTCAGAAATAGAAGCAGCTACAAACAACTTTATGACATTATTACAAAACGCTGCAAAAGAAGCGACACCGAACGATGCAGATAAAAATAAAATCGAGAATAGAATAAATATTCCACTAGAAATTAAAAAGCTCATTGCTGAAAAAAGAAGAGCAAGAGCCAAATGGCAACAAAGTCGGAACCCAGCGGATAAAACGTTTTACAATCGCTTAGCCAATAAATTAAAAACACAACTAAAAATTGCAAGAGAAGAGTCAGTCAAAAAATATGTAACACAACTTAATAGATACGACCATTCAATATGGAAACCAATCAAATCATCCTTAAAACCTCAAGCAATATCGCCACCAGTAAGAAAAACCACAAACACACAGAACCAATGGGCAAGAAGCGATAAAGAAAAATCCGAATTATTTGCTGAACATTTAGCAACAGTATTCCAACCACACAACAATGAAGAAGATCAAGAAATTATTAATTATTTAAACTCAGAACAACCGTCAGTAAATCCAATAAAATTAACAACACCCAAAGAACTTAAAGAAGAAATCTTAAAACTAAATATCAAAAAGTCACCAGGAATTGACCTAATAACTCCAAAAATGCTAAAGGAATTACCAAAAAAGGGTATAGTGATCCTTACATATATATTTAACGCAATATTAAGATGTAATTATTGGCCTAACAATCTAAAAATTGCAGAAATACTTTTATTTCCAAAACCAGGAAAGGATCCAAGTGAAGTCTCATCCTATCGACCTATCAGTCTGTTATCAACAATCTCCAAATTACTAGAAAAACTTTTAATAAAAAGAATAGATCCAGGCCTTACAGGCGCAGACTGGATACCAAATTTTCAGTTTGGATTTCGACGAGAACACTCAACTATCCAGCAATGCCACCGAATAACCCATAAAATCAATTCCGCATTAGAAGAAAAGGAATATTGCCCAATGGTATCACTAGATGTACGTCAAGCTTTTGATAAGGTTTGGCATAAAGGACTTCTTTATAAAATTAAACAAATATTACCACCCTTCTTTCGAATACTTACATCATACTTGGAAAACCGACAGTTTAGAACAAAAGTAAATGGAGAAATATCTAAAATGCATCCCATTAAGGCGGGAATTCCACAGGGCAGTGTCCTGGGACCTTTATTATATATATTATATACTTCTGATCTACCAACTTCGCATAACGTAACAATTGGCACATTTGCAGATGACACAGTAGCACTTACCAGTCACAAACACATTAACATAGCTACACAACAACTCCAAGATTATTTGTATGAGCTTGAAAACTGGCTAAAACAATGGAAAATAAAAATTAATGAAAACAAGTCAACCCACGTAACTTTCACTTTACGACGAGAAACACCACCACCAATATATATCAACAATGAGGAAATACCCAGGACTAAAACAACCAAATACCTAGGGCTACACCTGGACCAAACCCTGTGTTGGAAAGAACACATCACCAAAAAAAGAAAACAAATACAACTAAGACAAAAAGAAATCAATTGGTTAATTGGAAAAAACTCCAAACTGTCAATAAATAATAAAATTCTAATTTATAAAACAGTTATTAAACCAATATGGACATATGGCATAGAGCTGTGGGGCTGTAGTAGTAAATCTAATATTGCTATTATGGAAAGATGTCAATCAAAAATCTTAAGAGCAATTGTTGATGCACCCTGGTACGTAACCAACCAACGAATCTATGAGGATCTCAATATCTCAACAGTGAAAGAAGTATACCAGCAAAAGAAATTACAATACATTCAAAAAGTGAACACACACTCCAACCCATTAATTTCCGCAATACCTCAACATCAAGTTATCCGAAGACTAAAGCGACGTTGGCCAACAGACCAGTAACATGGACCCGTGATTCTCTCACTAGAGGGGACCACATCACGCCAGAACCAAGGGACAGGACTTAAACTCATCACATTAACTTATAGAATATATTGTTTTATTCTGATTGTTAATTTATTAGTTATAATAAAAAAAAAAAAAAAATCATTTATCTTGATCTCTTTTGTACAGTTTTCAAGTGCTTGCGTAAATACCTCTTCGGAATATATATTAAATAGTAATGGTGAAAGTATACAGCCCTGTTTCACACCTCTACTTATCTGTTGCGCATCCGTGCTATTTCTATCTAATGTTACCACAGTCTGTTGGTTCCAATAGAGATTTCTCATTATGTTAATGTCATTTTTGTCGAGTACTTTTCTCTTTAGATATTCCATGATAATGTTATGTTTCTTTCCGTTTTCTTTTGTAGAATTTCTTTCGAAGTTTTTATAACAGAATCTTTGATTTTGCTCCACATAATGTTCAAATTCTCAATGTTTTTCATTTCTGATGTTAATATCTTCATCTCTTGATTGATACAAGTTGAAGCCTCAGCACGAATTTCATTTATCTTGAGTAACTGAGTATTCATCTTAGAACTTATGGAATTTATTATCTTTTTTATCCTCAGTTTTATTTTTGAGACAAGGAGGTTATGGTCTGAGGGGATATCTGCTCCAGGAAAAGTCTTAATGCTTACAATGGAATTTTTAAATCTAAGATGGGTTAGAATAAAGTCGATCTGATTTCTAATGAAATTTTGTTCATTATTCTGTTGTGATATTAGTATAATTGAATATCTGTGAGAACATAGATTATTCTATAACCAATGAAATGCATTTATCAGTCCAATCAGAGTACAAGCTGTTTAGGTATTGGGCTGGGTGCACAAAAATCGAGTATTTTTGGGTATTTTTCCGTTGGACAGCTTCTCGATAGCTTATCAAAAATTGGAATAGGAATGTGCAAACAGTTTCGCTTTAAGTCAAACTGATCATATGTCACAACTGTCCAAAATGTAAAAATGGCCACTTTTCAAACGTCAATAACTAAAAAACAATTAACCTCAGATATAGGATATGATATATGACGTGTACACAAACTTACATGTGGCGACAGAACATAAACTTACATCGGTCACACGGGTATAACCTTTAAAAAAAGTATAGCAAAACACGAAAGGGCTTTCAATAATAGAAAAACAGATTCTACATATGCTCGTCACCTTCTAAATCATAATCATTCGTTTAATAACCAATTTCAAATTCTTCACATTAAAAATCAAGGCCCTAAACTATCATTATTATAATTTTGAATGACCAACTTGAGACAAACAGTTCTCACTGCTCAATTTTATGAAATTGTTAAAAATAAAATTCTGCAGTGTTTTATCGCTAGATAAAATAAACTCTTTCTAAGTATTGAATGTTGGAAGTTTTCTTAGATAATATATAATATAGTTACCGTGATTTTTTTCAGAAAGAAGGCTTCTCGTGGCTGGCAAAAAGATCTCCATCAATTCAGGTACCCTTTTGATAATGCGGAACGCACATAGAGCCGCTTTCTTGCGAATATAGGCGTTAGGCGATTTCATTAACCTCTCAATTTCTCCCGCCAGATCTCTAGCCATTTCAGGGGAAGCGATCGCTCCCAATGTACAAAGCGCCAATCCAACAACGAATTGGGTAGCCGAATTCAAGTCACTAAAACAAAAAGTGAATTTTAAAAACCATTCTAAAATTTATTAAAAAAATGCAATATTTAAAATTATTGTTAAAGTTTCATATAGTTTGTATATTTCTATTAACGTGCTAAGTCACACTATTGGTAAAAAAAATTGTAGTCCTCATAGGGCCCATATTAGAAAGTTACAGTATATATTATTATTAGTTAAGTCGAATAAAGAGACATGCATTACGATCTCCTTTCAATATCAGTTAGCCCATCTATGGAATTTGCATCGATTACCATAGTCGATTACCCATCGAGCAAAAAGACAATAGAGGGAATGTAAAGGTAGTGGGGGCAAACATATTGTTAGATAGGAAGTGCGATCTTTAGGGGCCACTTTACACAAGGAAAGAGAGCCTCTCTCCTTGTTTGACATCAAATTTAGTTGGGTTATGTTATTGTTTATCCCAAATGTCACATGAAATCTTATTTATATTGAAGTTTTTTAACAATTGTGTCGCATTTTAGACTCTTATCATTAATAATTAATTAAAACTTTCTCGTCTAAGACACATTTTGAAAAATATTATATAGCTACTGTTGATAAGTGTCGGAAAATTTAAATTTCGCGCATTCGCATTTCCGGATATGTCCGCCATCAGAGGCCACTTTTTTGGTCTCCTTTTCATAAGGATTAGATTCCCTCTTTTGTCTTATTGCTCGATGCGATTACCATAAACAAATTATACTTTGCATGTTTTTATGAGCTCCCATATTAAATATGACATTTTTATCAATATTTATTAAAAACATTACCCGTATGGTTTTTTATTTATTTTCAACGATAAAAAAATTCACTAAACCCTGGCTATGCATTCACTTACGTCAACACACGTTGATTTTTTTCATAATTATTACGTTAAATAAAGAGGTAGCTATTGAAAAATGACATCAAAACAATAATATTGTCAGTTAATGTCAAATGTATTTTGTAGTATTGTAAAGCTTTTTGCCATTTGTGGATTGTACCGGGTGGTCCAATAAGCCGATCTGTCGGCTATATATCAGAAACTATTCATGTTATAACTTTAGGAGAAAAAATTCCTTAGTAAAAGTGGCCAAGAGAAATCGCTGGAAATAACTTTCAAGTTTCTGGGTTAACCGCTAGGGGGAGTAACCTGTGAAGAAAAATTTGAAAACCAGTTTTTTGTGAAATATGCCCAATTATACCAAGTGTTAAATAAGTAAACTAAAAAGAGGCATAAATTCCGCACAAAGTTGTTCAAGTACTTTTTTTTATTTTGTCAAATTAAAGAAATAAAGATAAAGATTAAAGATAAAGATTTTGTAATAAATTTTTGTGAAAGTTTTGAAAACAAATTTTTGGGTGTTTTATTGTTACATAAAAGAAATTTCAATCAAGTAACGATCGAATCCATCAATTATTCAAATGTTAATATGCTATGTGTCATTTTTTTTTTTTTTAATAAAAATAGACCACCCCGCTAATGCCGGGTGTACCTATGAGAGGTTTGTATGAGAGGTTTTGAAATATTATATTAAATCGAGCGGTTGTCAGCTTTGACATTCCGAACATTCAGTATGATATATAGTAAGTATCTGGTTATGCTATATTTTAGTTACTGCACAAAGTAAGCGATAAAAAATTGTGATATACAAACTAGGCCATAGCGTTTTCATGAAAGTATTTCGTTATCTAATCAGCGGGATTAATTGAATAGTACATAATATTATAACATGAATCTTTTGAATGAACGGCTGTGGTGATATAAAAACAATAAATTCAAGAGTTTCTATATTAACCAATTGACCTTGGTTATGCCTCATCGAATAATTTTTTCAAGCGGATTTAACGTTATAAATATAAATGAACTTGCCGCAAATGTGTCATAATAACCAAGGAAATCTTTTGGTTTGTAGATGTCTATTTTATAATGTAAGATAACATAACATAGCTGACTCATATATTATGAAAATACGATATTTTAATGTTTCCAAAAAACATTTAAAATTAAATTTATATAGTAAAACTGTGGGAAGAAAATTAATAAATAAGAATACAAAGACGGTTTGTAAGTAAAAAGAACAGAGAACCTCTTCAAAAATTACACTATTTTATGATATTTTTCAGTAAAATGACAATGACAAATAAGTTGTTTATGCCATATTTTGATGTTACTATTCTACTTCCGGTTTCACCGGAAATACTTTCAACTTACTTAATTTAAATGGGCCAATAAGACACCAGGTAGCGATGGTATACCCGCAGAGTGCTTAAAACATGGTGGAGAAGCGTTGTACAGTTCGATATACAAGCTAATTCAAGACATTTGGCAAGAAGAAACAATGCCAGATGAATGGAAAGAAGGGGTTATTGTACCAATACACAAAAAAGGAAACAAAAAGCAATGTATTAACTACAGGGGAATAACACTCCTAAACACCACCTACAAAATCCTTGCAAACATCCTGCTAGAAAGAACCAAAACATACACAGAAGAAATCGTTGGAGATTATCAATGCGGATTTAGACCAGGCCGCTCTACAATTGACCAGATATTCACAATAAAACAGATAATGGAAAAATGCTGGGAGTTTGATCGTGAGCTTCATCAGATGTTCATAGATTTTAAACAAGCATTTGATAGAGTATGTAGGGACAGACTGTGGACAGCGATGCAGGAACTTGGCTTTCCAAAAAACTAGTCCGGTTGATACGGATGTGCATGGAACGGTTACGATGTAAGGTGAGAGTTGGACAACAATACTCGGAGACATTTGAAATAAACAATGGACTAAAACAGGGAGATGCACTTTCACCACAACTCTTTAACTTAGCTCTGGAGCACATAATCAGAAGTGCAAGAATCGAAAAACCGAATACAGTATTTCATCGAGAAGGACCAAACTTACTACTGGCATTTGCAGACGATATAGATCTAATAGGAAACACGCGATTAAGGATGAAGGAGACTTTCGTAAGGTTTGAGAAGGAAGCAGAGAAGATGGGGTTCCAAATCAACGAAAACAAGACGAAATATATGTATATGAGCCGCAATAACCAAAGCAGAGACAGAATCGGTCAGAACATTACCATCGATGACTTTAACTTTGAGCGCGTTAGAGAATTCAACTATCTTGGAACAACAATAACTGAAGACAATAACGGATCACAAGAAATAAACAACAGGATTCAGGCCGGCAACAGATGTATTTTTGCCCTCCAAAACCTTATAAAATCAAAACAACTAACACGACGTACGAAGATACAGGTCTATAAAACAATCATACGACCCGTTGTGATGTATGGAAGCGAAACGTGGACGATAACAAAGGCAAATAAGGAGAGACTACGTGTTTGGGAAAGAAAAATCCTAAGGAAGATCTTTGGTCCGGTGCTTGATGAAGCATCAGGACAATATAGGATAAGAACTAATAAAGAGCTTGAAGAACTTTACCCAGACGCCAACATCATAAAAGAAATAAAGTCCAGAAGACTCCAATGGGCAGGACACCTCAGAAGACATTCTGACGAACGAACAGTAAGACTGGTGTGGGAGGAAGTCCCAACTGGAAGGAGACCACGCGGACGCCCTCGTCTCCGGTGGCGAGATAATATAGCAGGAGACCTAAGCACTATGGGCGTGGTGAATTGGATGGAGGTTGCTAAAGAGAGAAAACAGTGGAGGCATGTTGTCGAGTCGGCTAAAACCCACGAATATTTGTAACGCCACGGAGTAAGTAAGTAAGTTTTTCTGTAGAATTGGTTCTGTAGAAACATTGGATGTATTTACCTTTGAATCAATTTTGCTTCCGAATTACGAGCATATTTTTTTGTTTTCCTGTGTCCTACAATTATTTGTGCTATGCCCCTGTATTTCGAAAGTTATTTATTTTATATAATATGCTAATTTGAAAATCATTTACTTCTGTAATTTTTGGTAGGCAAATACTATTTTTTTTAATTCCTTGTAGCAGTAACTTCTGGGTCTGTTTTTTCACTGTTCTATTTTATTTTGTTTTTCAAACATGTATTTATAAATTCCTGTAAATACTCTACAGTCCAGATGTTAAATCCATCATCTTGTTTCTGGCAAATTGGACGAGTAACATGATCTTGTGAGCGCTGCATTAGTTATTAAACATATTATATTTCTACACGTGCAATTTAATGAGCGACGAATTATCATAAACAATAGCCTGAAGGTAACGTATTTTCAATAAAAATAAAAATATGCATGAGTCAGTCAAATGACGCATAAAAATAACAATGCATTGAAATTAGTTTTATCTATAAAAAATAACCAGGAAAGCATTGACTGTATAAAATCATAAAAAAACAAAATACACGATGTTTTACATAAGTTGTTGGATAGGTACGTGTAAAATTTCAAATATTTGGAAACAAGTATTCACGTCACTGCACGTAAAAAACTGAAAGAATGACAATGATAAATAAGACAAGCATGTCAAAACATCAAAGCAACATAATGATTAGGAAGTCTATTAAATGTATAGAGCTGTGTTAGTTCGATAAATACGAGTAGACTAACAGGCGGTTTAACGATACCTTGGTTTCAGTGTTTCCATACGACAGCCTCAAATTACTTCCTCTTATCCCCTTAGCAATCAACGTTGCTAAGAATATATTTTGGCCTGTCTAAAATTTACGTTAGTGGATTCTACACTTTATCCAGAAAATAAAGGTTATCATGCATAAGACAGAATAATATGCTCGTGTGTTTTGACTTAGTTTCATTATTATACAGGGTTTTTCAATGGGGAGCCAACTAGAATGAAATAAATTGCTCAATCCTGAGATCCCTTGTTAATACGGCTTTAAGCGAAGATATAGAAACAGAGCCCCTGTCACAAAGCGAAAATTCTGCAGAAAAATATATCGTTATTTCTCTAATTCAATCCAGAACATCGTTGGCATCTCTCCCATAACCTCTCACATCAAATCCCTAGGCAAGAGATGCGTCTTTATACGTTTATACAAAGTCTTACCAATATTCGTGCTCCACACACTCGCTGTATTGACTGGCTTTCACTCGCGGTTGTTCTTCATACGCGGAATCTGTCCGGGCACCGGGTTCTGAACAAGTGTTTCGCGGTACTAACACTGAGATCACGAGATAGAGCACATTTTGCGTCTGTGCACGATATAAAATAGTATTTGCGGTATTTTTCGCGTCTCTTCAACGATAGATAACAGCCAAAAGAGATACGTCTTTACCAAGCGATAGGGAACAAGCAAGAGAAGAAAGTCTGTACCAAACGGTAGCCAACAGGCAAGAGAGAGATTACGTCTGCATGGCGAGACTCAGCAGACGCAAGAGCAAACGGTTAGGGACGGGTAGGAAGGTTTATCAAGGGATGGACTAAGGTCATGATTATAAAATTGTGATAGAAGAATAGTTAATAATACAGCGAAAAACTGACATGATTTTTCGGATGTGAAAAAATTGAACACCATATTTACACACGTTTGTGAGTATCGATATAGGTGTTTCCAGGTCAATTGGCCAATGGAGAGATTTCGTGGCGGGGGACGCATATCGGGGCATCCACGAAGACACACCCACAGAAATTTTTAACCATGCTCAGAAGAAGCTACAAAGCCTAAAGCTAGGAATGATCCTACACCATTCTCATACAATGACACTTATTACTACCCTTTTTAGATTGAAGAGACGACAGGCCGCTTCAGGAACATTTCTGAGCAGAAAATGGTTACTACCGTTGAGTATTGCCTTTTAAAAAATTCTGTCACAGTTGTCGAACAAACTGGGAAAAAATAATTTCAGAATACGGTTTATAAACTCGATGAAATCATTGTACCATTATATAAAAAAGCATTTTTGACCTCGTTAACGGCAAGGGTTCTATATGTTTGTAATTTGCAAAATTTTTTTATTTAAATAATTTGTTATAAGAATACCGATTTAAAAATATATATATTGATGTTAAAAATATTCACTTAAACAACGCTAGACTTTGTTGACGTCTGTATACCAATGTTAAAGAATATCGTACAATGCCCACTTGCTTTAAGTAAGAAATAAATTATCCTTATTATTCAATTGAATACTAAAACATGTCAAGGTTAAAAAAATAAGCAAAATGTTATAAAACAATTTAATAATGTATATTGGATCATTCGTTCATTATATACGGCAAAATTAAATAGCAAAATTACAAAACTGTCCGTTCATCTTATTCTCTTATGCTCAAAACAAACAAAATGTTGTTGCTTTATTTTTCAAAAAACTTTAAAGTTTTGAAAGCATATTAAAAATAATATTGTGTGTAATAGTTAACTCAGTTATTTCTTTTTATAGTTCATAAATAATAGACCGCAAAAAGCCGAGGATTATTGAAATATTTTAAGATAAAATTTTGAGGTATAATGACCAATAATTGTAGCGCTAGTTGCCAAGATCTTGGTACTGATAAAAAGCAAATAATAGCATGCGAGAGTTGTCGTTCAAAGATACACATTGCAGAAAAATGCTCTGGCTTGTCCACATTCGAGATACAGGCAATTATTTTGCAGAAACATCTACCTATGTACTTTTGCGCTACCTGTCGTGATGCATTTAAGAGTGTTCCTCGCCACCAGTCTCAAAGAAAAGATTACATTAATGGAAAATAACTATTCACAAACAACAACCAATTCAGTTTTTTATAAAGTACAACAATGTATAGATAGAGCTCAAAATATTATGATTTATACAATTCCTGAATATAACTCTAATGTATTAGCTAAGCGCATTAGCTACGACAAATCTCAGGTGTGTGAGGTCTTTTGTTTACTTGGCCTACAGCAAGAGGAATCCACCATATCACATGTTATTTGAGTTAGCAAAGTGTCCAGTTACAATAAAGCTAGACCAGTCAAAAGGCTAACACTGTAAAATAGCAACAAACAGCTACAAACAGGTGGATTGGAATCAGGTCTATGCTATAACGGTAAAAAGTAGACGAGTGACATGAACAAGAAATGTTGGAGATGTCAGAAAAAGAAAATTCCCAAATATTACGAACTTTTTTTGAGATGGAAAGAGCATTTTCAGGAGATGCTAGGGACGCCCAGGGATAACGCAGATGAAATTGTCGAAAATCCACAGAATATAGACTTGCGTATATCTTGCGACGCCCCTTCCAAAACAGAGATAATAACAGCTATCAAATCTCTGAAAAATAACAAGTCTCCGGGAATCGATAACATTGCTGCCGAAATACTTAAAACTGATCCGCATCTAACTGCTGAACTTTTGCTCCCCATAATCCGAGAGGTGTGGGAAACAAACCGCATTACAGCGGGCTGGAAAAAAGGCATCATTATTAAGCTTCCAAAAAAGGCAACCTCACACTATGCAAAAATTGGAGAGGAATAACCTTGCTTACCGCCATAAATAAAATCTTCACGACCATCATACTTAAAAGATTAACAAACAAGGTTGAATTTCGAGCTAATCAAGTAGGCTTTAGACCAGAATCCTCCTGCATAGACCACATTAATACTGTGAGGCTAATAATGGAACAATCGGTTGAATGGAACACACCCCTATACATGGTTTTTGTTGATTTCGAGCGTGCTTTTGACAGCTTATCTCATGATGCGATATGGAAAATTTTAGAGCTAAGAAACATCCCGCATAAAATAATTTCCATTATAAAGTTACTGTACACTGAAGCGAAATGCAGCGTGACACACAATGGGAACAGTGACGAATTTGACGTACTTACTGGAGTCAGACAGGGATGCGTGCTTTCTCCGTTTCTTTTTAACATAGCTCTAGACTATGTTCTCTCCAAACTAGACTCTGACACAAGAATGATACAATGGACGTTAACCACACGCCTAAGCGATCTAGAATACGCCGACGATATCTGCCTGTTAGGACAAAGGTTCCAAGATGTGGCTGACCAAATTGGAAACACTTTCCACTGAAGCCAATAAAATAGGTTTGAAAATCAATATTGGTAAAACCAAATCCATGAGAATAAATGCAAGAAACAACACGCTATTCACCATTAATAACATGCAGATTGAAAATGTGGAAAACTTTACGTATCTTGGAAGTGTCATAACAGAAAGCGGAGGTACAGAAGACGATATTCGTATGAGGATACGAAAAGCGCAACAAGCTTTCAGCATGCTCAACCCTGTTTGGAGGTCTGGAGACTACACTACGAGGACAAAGATCCGCATATTCCAGTCAAATGTCATGTCTGTACTACTTTACGGATGTGAAACCTGGAAAGCGACAAAAACCCTTACAGACAAACTGCAGGTCTTTGTTAATAAATGTCTACGAAGAATTGTTCGTATTTTCTGGCCTAACATCATCAGAAACGAAGATTTACTACACCTGACCAAACAAAAGAGGGTAGTAAATGAAATAAAGTCCAGAAAGTGGGGTTGGATCGGTCACACACTCCGAAAAAATAACTCCAGTATTGCAAAGACTGCCCTAGAGTGGAATCCCCAAGGAAAACGAAAAAAAGGTCGCCCAGTACAAACTTGGAGAAGATCCATCATGGACGAGATAAGAAAACAAGGAAAGTCTTGGAATGAGGTGAAGGCCTTAGCGCAAAATAGAACCCGATGGCGCGTTTTCACTGAAGCTCTATGCTCCACTTAGGAGTTCAAGAATATATATATATATATATATATATATATATATATATATATATATATATATATATATATATATATATATACGAACTTTTTTTAATGGCTTGTTTTGAATTATGAATTTTTTTGTTAATTTTTTAAAGGTGTTAAAAAAACAAATGTTAAGTACTTTTTAGTAATTCTAAGAGTAGTGTTTTTGTAGTTTCGGAGAAGCGATATCATATGTTGTTTACTCTGTATTAACTGCTTGTCTAAGTAATTACCTTGTTTAATTTTACAAAATTTCTGTTGTGTTTCAAAAATTATATCTTACATCTATTATACATGTGGCACTCTAATGATTAAAAAATAAATAAATGTGTGAATGTAAATTCAGATTATTATTATAAACATTATCCCAGACTGCCAATGTCAGCGACCTTTTTTATCAAATAAAATGTAAATGTACTTACTTTTTAAGGCAATTTGTTATCAATAAATGCACATCCTGACGTTCATCTAACAGTAACATCGCACCCAAATAACCAATCCTTTTATCAGTAAATCTTGAGCTCGCTATTAATTTTAAACATTCTAATTGACCAAAATGTGCTTTATATCCTAGCATGTGGATGTACAAGAGCTTTGCAATGTTTCGACACCTGAAAAATAATAATAATTATATTTTAACTTTGATACTTAAGTTTTAGTTTAATATGTTTACTAATCAATATATTGAAACAAGTAGTTGTAGGTATAAGATTGCAAAGAAAGAACATAATGAAATGCATGGTAATAAAAAACACTGTCTGTCATATGTGGATCGAGTATTTCCGTATTTATCACAGCTGGTAAGATGTAGAGGGTTGTTAAACAACGTTAGGAGTCATCTTCTTTTGTCTGTTGACTCTCGAAAGAGGATAATGATAGCATGTAGCAATCACCCTGATCATTTTTCCATCCTCTATTTTGAGCTGCTGGGAAATCTTCGTGTAAACCACTGACAATAATTCCTCTGACCTGATCCACTTAGCATTCAGAGTTATCTTTCAAACTATCTTTGATGCGATATTGGGGCAATTTTTTATGAACAACAGAAACGAGTGCTCAGAATTATTTCAAAAATGAGAATTTGAGCATCTTGCAGAGGAGTTTTTAACTAACCATATTTTAATAGTAGTTGCAAATTATATTGAGGAATGTATGAGATTAAGTACATTTACCCCATTCACAAATTGACTGTGACAGATTATTTAATAAATTGTCCCATGGCATTACAATACAGTAAAACCTCTTTTAGTCGAACCTTGATAAATCAAAAACCTCCAAAACTCAAAAAAATCTTTTTTTCCCTTCCCTTCAAGCCCCAAAACCTCTAGTCGAAATAATAACAGTGAGTCCCTGTAAGCCATTGTGGTACATATTTTCATTCTATAACTTGACAAATTAAATTGGATCTCTGTATCTCGAACATAGCAATGTTTTATTTTACAAACTTTTTAACTTGATTATTTGAAAGTTATTACCTTTATAGTTCGAAGACAAATAAGTCAACAACTTTAAGAATGTACCGACAATGTAAATACACCATTGCTTCTTAGAAAGCAATTTAGAAGTGTACAGTAAATAGGATTATCACAATTGTATTATTTTTGATTCCATTGGAAATTTTAGCGAAGCAAGTCATTTGTTGTCGAATAACAAATTGTTTGTGCTGAAAAATTGGAAAGTGTTAGAGGCTGTGAATATTGTCAGAAGATGAATGATGTTGCTGAACAATTTGGCCTAGTAATGCAGGTCAAAATGTGTGCTGCAAAAGACGACGAATTGCAAAATTTCCGGGCTTACTACAATGGTTTGAACAGTATCAGAGCCAGAATATTAGTGTTAGTGGACCACTGTCACAAGAATAAGCTGAAATATACTCTAAATCATTGGGAGTGCTAACTTCAGCAGTAACGAATTGCTGGGAAATTTCAAAAGACGATATGAACCTGATTTTAAAAAAGTTTGTGGAGAAACTGCAAGTGTCGACAGTCAAACCTGTAACAAATGGAAAAATGAACTGCAAAATTTGTTGCATGGTTACGAACCTCAGAATATCTCCAATGGTGATGAAACCGAACTGTTTTTTAAATGTCTTCCTGATAAGACTCTAACTTTTAAAAGAGATCAATGCCATGGTTGGAAGAATAGCAAGGAATGTTTGAATAAAGAAACTAAAAAACCTCGTTTTTAAAGATGTAGATCACTACCTACAACACAATAGATGGAGAACAACCAATTCTTTATGTACATATAATACACAATACAAGTACATACAGAAATGCTCAATTCAAAGGAAACCGAAATTATCAATGAGCCAGATCAAATAGTGGAGAGATGGGCAGAGAATTTTGCTGAGAAATTAAATATAGGCAACCAAGAAGTCACTGACATAAATTCACAAGAAACGGCAGCGAATACCTCGCGAACAGACCTTACTTTGGACTAAAGCAGTTCTTAACATCACACATAATTAGCAGAAAAACCAAGATACTTATATATGAAACTCTTATTCAACCTAATATTGTTCTGAAGCTATTTTCTTGTGGCATTGTAAATTAATTACTATTTAACTGGGAATAAGCCACAATTAAAGATAAAAATACATTTATTGACGTTTCAATTTCCACGGAAATCGTTCTCAAAATACAAACAGTAAAATAAACAAATTTTGTTTTTTGTTATATAGTGAAAAATTCTTCTAATAATTTAATTTTATCTTACTCATTTATATTGACAATTCAGACATACATTATGCATTTTGAAGTAGACGACTTTAAAATGATATTGCCAATATTGTTGAGTTGCGCTCCTGGGACGACTTTACTTATAAGATAGTTCATTCGATTACATGAAATCAACTTTAACTTGAGAATATCCGTCAGAAAAAAATCATAGCATGAAATTCGTCTTTAAAAAGACAAACACATGACATGATGACAGTAAAATTCTCCTGTTAGTGATTCCATAGTAAATTATGAGGGAAAAACCAGGAAAAAAACCTCATAATACTATCCTTTCCATAAGAATGTTTCTTAAGTGGAAATGCTTTTGAAGTCCATAGTATGCCCTATTGGTAAGATTTATTCGTCTTTTGATTTCTTCGCTTGTTTTATTGGTAGCAGTCAATAGCGACCCAAGGTATTTAAAGTTGTCAACACGTCCAAAGGTATGACTTCCAAAGACTGTTTCTCGTTCCTCATTTGCGATCGGATCCTTTGTAACCAACATGTACTTAGTTTTGTCTTCATTGATGACTAGACCGACCTCTTTTGCTGCTGTTTCCAATTCTAGAAAATATTGCTCAACATCTTGCTTGCTATGCCCTATTATGTCAATGTCATACAATATAGTCCTTGGATATATTTTTAAAAATTTTTAACGATTTGTTTTGTTTATTTATTTTCAATGGACTATTGCCCAATAAAATGAAATGCCCGTTTATATCAATTAATTTCCTTTTAACTTTTAAACCAACTCAATCATATTTTAAATCATCAAGACTACAACATAATTATATTCAACTTCCAACTACAATTATTGATATCTACAAGTGGAATTCAATTGTCTATTTAGGTCGTTTTAAAGTAAGACATCTTTCCCAATGGATATGGAAACCTGCTATCAAAATTTGATAAACAAAAGAGTTTGTGAATTAATAATGGCATATATAAACGATAAAGTACTATTCATTATTTATTCTCTGAACTTTTAACTTAAATTGATTCCTGCTACTTGTAAAAATATATCCTTAGTAAAGCGCTATGAGCAAAACTTAATTAGCGTTGAATTTAAACTAAAATTATAAAGAGATGAATTGTTTACCTCCATACTGAATCCTCTTCTCTAAATGTTGATCTAATGTAGGCACATTCTTTATTAACAACACTACGTTCTTCAGCAGCAGTTCTTGCAGCTCTAATCTGTCGGATTAAGTCCCTCAGTCGCATAGGAGTAGGCATTCGAACTAAAACATAATTGTTAAGTAATAATATGGATGGATGAAAGCTTGCACAATCATACCTCTTTCAATAGCCTCATTAACAACTTGTTTAATTGTGGCCATGTTAAAAGCAGGATTAAATCTGAAAATGCAATAAATTAGTTCAAAATTAGTAAATTCGCTTTTGAGCGAGCATTACCCATGCTCTGAAGCATTCATGATGATTATTTAGTCTGGACACAACACAGAAATTCAGGTTAAAAGTCTGTTAATATAACACACGTATAGTTCACTCAATGCCCATTGCAAAGTCAACAACAATGTATATTAGGCAGTTAACACTAAAAAGAACTGGATTTTTTAATGATATTTTAAAAAACAAGATTAAAGGAATAAATTTGTGTCCTCAAGAAATTCACCTGTTTTTAACACCTTACAGTTTGACAGATGACATTAAAAGTTGACGAAAAGATAATAACTGCACAATTTATTTTTTTGGATATCACTCATAACCGTCCAAACGCGTTATTAAAACTTAAATATTGTTAAAAACTAATATAAACAATTAGATTATTTTTTAGACCATCCCACATCCCACTGATTTGACATTCGGCATTGGCAATATGGCCGGCACTGTGACGTCACAATTTTTGTGATGTGGACAACGATGACGTAGCACGTGTCTACTTGGATGGCCAATGTTTAATTCATCAAGCAAGAGTTAACAAATTGAAAACCGTTGGAAAAACTCGTTATAAGTTTGTTCCGCAAATATTATACTGAGATAAATCTTATGCAAACGAGATAAATTTATGACAAAGTCAAAGACGTTTATATCTGCGTCGTGTTTTAACATATCTAATTATATTTACATAGCTACACCTGATTTTTTTCAGATTGTTGAATTTAAAATACTTACCTTCTGTTGGCCTCGGGAGGCAGTACGCTCCAATCTGATTCATAATAAGGATACATTCTTCTTGAAGATGATTTATCACTTTTTCAAATTACTGGGATGTGTTTACAGACATTTTCATGATTGTTCATGTATACCTATTAAAAGCCTTTATTCTTGTGATAATATAAATGTAGAGATAAGAAAGTTACACACATTTCATTATCAATTTATCAGACCGCGGATAGGTTTTATAACAAAATTTGTGTTTTCCTGAACAGTTGTGTGGGATAGACTACCTAGAAATGAGAAAAGCGATCATTTTTAAAGATATATTTTAATTAATCATTTGCTACTTACATTTTCTTTTAAAACATTGTGAAATGTATCAAATATTTGTATATATAGGTAAAGGTACACCAAAAAATTATATAAGTGAGAAATCATTATGACTTTATCTATTTTTTCATGGTAGATAAGTATCAGTGTCCCTAGATAATGAAAATTTTGTCTATTCAGGTAGTAACTTTAGTCATAAATAGTAAATACATCTGTATCTCAGAGTTTCTAGAAGTAAATCCACCATTCATAAATATAAATAGTTTATTACCTAATGAACTAGGTGATTAAATTTTAAAAAACACAGAAGTTAAAACACTTCACAAATGTGTATTTAGGTATAAAACAAAACAAACAATTTAAAACTTTTTAAACAAGTGTCGTCACATTTAAAGTTCTGGCAGAACGTTTTCGATCACTACGGATCATCTTCAGTGCCTAGTATTTGTTGCTAACTATATAAATATGGTGTCTATAAGACTTCCATGTTTGAGTTGGTAAAGTGTCACATTTTACATTAGGTAATGTTGATACTGTAGGTCGATGACAATGGATGTATTTAAAATTAAAAATTTTTTACTTTAGGGACTACATGTCTCCTAAGCTCGAGTACTTGCACGTTGTCAGTTGAAGCGACGACACAGACCAAATTCGTCGCTTCAACTGACAACGTGCAAGTACTCGAGCTTAGGAGACATGTAGTCCCTAAAGTAAAAAATTTTAAATTTTAAATACATCCATTGTCATCGACCTACAGTATCAACATTACCTAATGTAAAATGTGACACTTTACCAACTCAAACATGGAAGTCTTATAGACACCATATTTATATAGTTAGCAACAAATACTAGGCACTGAAGATGATCCGTAGTGATCGAAAACGTTCTGCCAGAACTTTAAATGTGACGACACTTGTTTAAAAAGTTTTAAATTGTTTGTTTTGTTTTATACCTAAATACACATTTGTGAAGTGTTTTAACTTCTGTGTTTTTTAAACGATGGTATACAGCCAATTACTGGGTTTTTCCCATTAATTTTGGATTAAATTTTACTATAATGGGCGTGAATAATTTATGTTATAAGGTAAATGCATATAAGGTACGCACTTGATATTAAAAGTGCGACATTTTTTTATTTTTACGAAAATGGTGTATTTATCATTCTTCACATTGTTAACACGTTCAGCACTGGGTGGCATCAATGTGATGCCTCAATAAATAGTACCTACTCTTGGGACAGTGAGGCATTACTTTAATGCCACACTACAATTTTGTATTCGGGACACCGTGGCATCAACTGTGCCCCCGCAGCTATATAAATTACATTGTAAGTTGGACAGGGTGGTCCCAGGAGCAAAATAATTGTTCCTGACCGGATGTGAGACTGTTTTTACCAAAGATATGGAAATTATAAAACTTTATGAAAAAAATAAAAGATTTTATTTAGAATGTGCAAAAATAATTATAATGTAACACCTTATTATTTTAAAACAGCATTATGTGTTGAGAAAAAATAAGAAATACAATAAAGAATTTTGCATTGCTTGCACAAAAATTAAGAACGACAACACTTGTTTTGAGCTTCCTTCCGTCCCAATTCATTCTTCATTTTGGCGTAGCAAACCACACATAGGTTTTTTCTTCCTTCTACAAGCTCATGACTGAGATTGGTGTTATCGTTGATATTAGTTTCAATAGCGGACATTTCACTTAGTAGTTCTATAGCGACTTCTGTTTTGAACTCCGTTGTAGTCAATTTAGTTTGTGTAACCTGTGTATATACAATATGAGCATTCACTAAGGCACTACCAAACAATAATTATGTGGCTAATTTCCTGTGCCATTTATTCCCTCGTCTCAAGCAATGTGAATACGCGTTTTTCTGATTTGAGAGATCAATAAAGGATTTTGAATCACTGAGGTTTCTGTGTCACTGGGTATATAATCATCTGATGATCCAGAATTTGCATAAGGGTCGTCCACTCCTACGTCTTCATCTGACATAAGCTCTTTTCTATTCTTTTTCGTAGAAGTCCATCGAAAAAATTCGTGTAATCTAATATTTTATAGTACACTCATACAATAACCGTACGCAAAGAGCAACGAACAAAGAATGACTTAAAATATGACGTCAAATACTTCCGTCGCTTCATATAAGAATGAACAAGTTTGAGGCATCACGTAAATGCCACGCTGTCTAGACAAATAAATTTATAGTTCTCGGTCAGCGAGGTATCAATGTGATGCCTCAAAAATATTGTGCAATAACTCGATTGTCAAATATTTTTTTGGGAAATGAACCAGAAATGCGGAAAGGCATCCACGACTTCCTTCTTATTTACAAAAATTAAAATGCTGACCAATGGACAAGAAAAAAAAAATTATAACCCCGGGGCTGAACGTGTTAATCAACCATTTAAAAAGATGTTTTAGAATAGTTTTAAACCATGTTTGTATTCAAATAAGAAATATTTAATTTTGTTTGCAAAGCTGCTAATGCGTACTCTTATACACAAATTTGCATAAGAGTACGCATCTATATGTTTAAGAGTACGCACATTACTGAAGTGTACAAAAATATTAAGACATTCCAAAAATCAAACTTTATTTCTAAAATAAACGCAATAAAAATACATAAAAAAGAAATATGAAAAGTATGTTTTAAAACTCATTTTTATTTCATCTTTAAATCCATTGCTACCTCACCGTTTAAATACATGAAGTCTCCTGATCCTCCAAATAAACGCCACCATGGACACAGAACGCGAACTCCTAAGAAAGATCATGAGAAAGCATGTAGACTAACTAATCCACCAACTCTCAAACATAGAGAGTAGAATACGTGCTCTCGGCAAGAGATCTCTCTCCCTCTTCAATCCTGACCCCCCAGGGGGAGTGTAGTGGTCGACGTGATGTCGTGTATTGTCCGTCTCCAGAGATCTCTGTCTCTGGTCATTTCTTTTAATTCATGCATAGGTCTTTGGCATATTCTTGTAATTTGATCTATCCATCTTGTTGGGGATCTTCCTCGTGATCTTCGGCCTTCTACTTTTATTGTATTATGAGTCTTTCCATGTTTTCTGTGTTTGCTCTCATAACATGCCCAAAATATTTTAATTGTTGGAGATGGACTTTACTAGAGAGTCGTTGGCTAACTTTTAGCTCTCTTAAAATTGAATTATTTGTTCTACGGTCGGTCCAAGGAATTCGTAACATTCGTCTCCAACAGAACATTTCAGTGGCGTCTATCTTTCTTCTCTCCGATTGTCTCAGAGTCCAAGATTCACATCCGTAGGTCAGTATTGGGAATATTAAGCAGTTGATCAACCTCATCTTTATCGCTCTTGAAATTTGACATTCCTTCCATATTCTGGTTATTTTTGCTGTGCCAACTTTTGCTAGATCAAATCTACGTTTAATCTCTTCTTGTAATGACCCTGTGTTTGTGATTGATGATCCCAGATATAAGTATGAGCTCACAACCTCGAACCGGTCAATTGTGGTTATGTATGGATGATTGTTGTGTAGTCTATCCACTATCATGATCTTTGTCTTTGATATGTTTAATTGCAGACCAAATATTTGACTTTCGTTTTCGATCAGTCGTATAAGTTCCATCAGCTCTGCTTGACTATTTGCAAGAAGGGCTGTGTCATCTGCGAAACGTAGGTTGTTTAGTTTATGACCATTTATTGAGATGCCCTTTTCCCATCCTTCAAGTGCTCTTCGCATAATATACTCTCCATATATGTTGAATAATTGTGAAGATAGTATACATCCTTGTCTGACACCCCGTTCTGGATGAAACTCGTTCGAAAGTGTGTCAAGTACTTTAACTTGAGATACGTCTTACGAACTATCACAAGCTCCAACATCAAAGCAAAGAAGGTTCTAAAAACATCTTGCCACCACCTAGAACACATACTCATCAGGCATCCTGCAAAGAAAGTACCTTTCCTCCCGGTCAAACTTCTTAATTAGGCTAGAAACGAACTTTCTCCAGAGCTTTTTGAAGCTCTGGAGAATCTGGTAAGATCTCTGGTAAAATTAAGGGTAAAAGATCGATATGAAAATGAAGAACTTCCTGGCTAAGAAACCTAAGAGAATGGTATAGTTGCAGCTTAGTAGATCTTTTCAGAGCAGCCGCCCAAAAGGTACCGATAGCTTTGATGATAGAAAACCTCCGATAGGAGAAGGAACTATAAGAAGAAGAAGAACGTACTGATGAGTATTTTAACACCCTAGAAGCGCCGCCAAGGTATCGCAGATACTAACGATCTGCTAGCCAAAACCGCTCAATTCAAAAAGCCGTTCCCAAATGTATAGCTGGTAACATGCGAAGGTACTCTTCAATACGGTATGGCAGACAATCTTCCTTACTTACACTGATTGGTTACTGCTTTCCACTTCTTTCACTAATACAAAACTGCTTTCGTAGACTGATGTCTGCTCTTGGACCAGCTCTCTCCACGGTGAGGGAACCCATACTTTCAAGAGGCGCTTCTCTCTCTCTCTCTCTCTCTCTCTCTCTCTCTCTCTCTCTCTCTCTCTCTCTCTCTCTCTCTCTCTCTCTCTCTCTCTCTCTCTCTCTCTCTCTCTCTCTCTCTCTCTCTCTCTCTCTCTCTCTCTCTCTCTCTCTCTCTCTCTCTCTCTCTCTCTCTCTCTCTCTCTCTCTCTCTCTCTCTCTCTCTCTCTCTCTCTCTCTCTCTCTCTCTCTCTCTCTCTCTCTCTCTCTCTCTCTTGGCCAATCGCCCAAGTAGAAACGTAGATTGCCAAATGATTGGACTTGAGATTCAACAGAATCGCGGCAATTGAAGGTAAAGAGTGTGGGCGAATTGCGAC